AAGACATGTAGTAAGTATTTTAATGTGGTAAGGCTTAATTTGGACCCAGAAGGATAAAATCAACATAGGTATGGAGTAGTAAATATAGGGCATTTCAGAGGAAACAGGGATACAAGATGACAAACACACCAGGACTAAAAGGACAACCCCTGCCCTCCCCCAAAATGTTGTGCTGGGCCAGAAGTCTGCCCGGATCTAACTTAAAGACGTGGCATCTGTAGGTGTGTAGTAAGATAAGGCTGGCTGCGGGCAGTACATCCCATCCATCCAGCTAAACCTTTAGTCAAACTGAGATTTTGGACTTCAGCAGATAATAGTGTGGAGCTGTTGGTAGCTCAAAAAATTAATGTGATGGATTCTTTTCCAGGACGATTACCAGGCTGGGGAGCTGCAGTGAGGAAAGAGTATGTGAAGGCAGGAGCTTAGTGTTTATTCACCAGCTGGATGCCCAGGCCCAGGGCACTGCCTGATATTTGGTAGCACTTAATAAATATTGAACGAAGGGATGAAAATTATCTCCTCAAAAACTGTAGCAGTCATAACAGAAAACAGATGGGATATTGTATTATTGGAAGAAGCAATAACACTTACTGATTAATAGATCTGAGACATGAAGGCAAGAAAGAAGTTTCCTATTCCTTGAGAGACACATTTAGCTTGGCCTATTTCCTTCAGGAGGTATTACTGGCAAAATAAAATGAAATAAAGACATTTATGATCATTTTCTCTTCTGTATTCAGAGATATATATACAATATCAGATCTGGATAGGAGAAATTGCTCTTTTCTGGGGTAATCTGAATCTTCTCTCTTAAAATTAAATCCTTCCAGAGGTGACCTTTGAAGATTTGAGCTCACCTGTCCTCTCTTGTACTTAGTTAATATAACTGATGTCTGTAAAATTACTCTCCCTTCCCCAGTTGCCTGGAGTGTGAGCTCCATAAGGGCAGGAATCTTTACATCCCTAAGGCTTAATGTGAAATAGTGCCTGGCACATGGCAGTTGCTCAGTAACTTTTTTTGGGATTAGTGAATTTTGGTCATTTCCCCATAGTTCTTCAAGCTTCACTTGCCTTTTGGGCTCTCTCGAGTGTTGCATGGAGCAGGAATACTGTAAAAGACTTTGCTCTCTTATCTTTGGTTTGTTGGGCTGTGTGTCCTCCCTGTCTCTTTTTCCTACTGACCGCATCCCCACCCACCTCCAAAATAAAACTGCAACATCCAAATAAAGATATGTCTGGGCATAGATAAGGCCTGGGTCAGGAGGTTGGACATGTAGTCAGGGTATGTTGAAAACTGCTAAAATTGATTAATGGTGTTCTTTTTCAATCATATAGAAGAAAATAGTCAAATTATCCCAATTTTTAAGTTTTTCCTTTTACAAATTTCTCTTAAATCTTGGATGCCTGCCACAATTTGGCTTATGAAATTAATAAGGAGTAAGTAACTTAAAAATACCAGAGACTTAGAAACTGAACACATTTAGGGTTTTTTAAATTTTTTTATTGATATATAGATTTGAGGTCATTTTTATATAGCATGCGTGTAGTAATCATATTACCGATTTATTAACGTGGTTTTCTTATTTATATATAAAACTGAATTGTCAGTATTTTAATTGTGTATTGTCATAAAAAGCACTGACTTCCATGTCTATTGCTAATTGAACAAATAAATTATGGACGTGGGATTTTTAGTTCTGTTTACAAGGAGTGTTTGATTGGCACTTTCCATCTTGCACAGAGTGGATGAAGCTCAGACCTCATGTATGTGCAGATGCTTGAGCATGGCGCCGGGCCTCTGGGTGCTCCCCTGAGTAATGGCTGCGTGCTGGACAGCAATGGGAGTAATGATATTTTTTTTTTTTCCTTTAATTCGTCAGCCAGAGATTGGAGGCAGCAGCTGGAAATGGCTCTTCCCAGTCAAGGTGGCAGGGAATTCCGGCTTGCCTGTGGCAGGCCCAAGAGCCACGGGAGGAAATAACGTCTCTGTCCATTCTGTCTGCCTTTGCTACAGATGAAACGGACCGTGGGGTGGACCAGCAAGATGGAAAGAACCACACTGGATCCTCTGAGTGCGAGGAGAGCGACGCCAGCAGGGAGGAGTTGCTGAAGACCCGACTGCCCACACGCTCAGACATGATCTGTGGCTATGCCTGCCTCAGAGGTACTTGGGGCCCCCAGAGGGAAGCCCGACACCGCGCTCTCGGAGATGCGCACCTTCCCTCCCCCACCCCCCCCACCTCCAGGCTCTCTGAAGGGGGAGGGTACAGGGTGCCGTGGAAGTCGAGTTTGGGTCGTCCAGCCATGTGAGCTGTGCCGTGACCTTCACACTGTGGGGGACTCCGTCCTTGTTGCAGGCACTGCCGCCATGCGGAACACCAAACGGGGTTCCTGGTACATTGAGGCCCTCACCCAGGTGTTCTCTGAGAGGGCTTGTGACATGCACGTGGCTGACATGCTTGTGAAGGTCAGTCGCCTCCTTTGGGCTCCGTCTGCTTGGGTTCCACCCTCCGCCCTGCCCTTGTCTGTCGTCATCTCTCCAGCCTGCCTCTCACGCCCAGAGGCTCAGCCTGGGGACCGTGGGTTTCTGTCTTTGCAGGTGAACGCGCTCATCAAGGAGCGTGAGGGCTACGCCCCTGGCACGGAGTTCCACCGCTGCAAGGAGATGTCCGAGTACTGCAGTACCCTGTGCCGCCACCTCTACCTGTTCCCGGGCCACCCTCCCACGTGACGCCGTCCCCACAGCCCTGCCGCGTGGAGGCCTGATGGGGCCTCTCCTCTTCTGGCGCACGGTTTCTCTTCCCCCTCAGGGATTGGGAACCTTGGGGCTTGTGGAGCACGCCTGTCCTCTCCGCCTGGGCACGCCGGGCCACAGGCCAGTCCCTCCTGTGGCGGCTCCCTCCCTGCAGAGCTGGCTCTGGCCCGACCGGCTGCGACAGCAGAGCAGCCTGGCCGATGATGTTGCGAACACAGCGTCTTTATGGGGAGAGGGCATGCGGGTTTCCCGCTGCTTGTGTTCGCTCCCTGGCCCTAGGACTTTGGTAGACAGCACTTTGGTAATTGCTTCTATTACGTTAGCTAAGACGTTTCAGAGACCATCTCCTGTTTTTTTTTTTCTTTCATATTCCAACCCCATTTATCCCAGACTGAGAGTGTGGAAGGTGTCCTGATTCAACGTAGACGTTTTTCATTTTGCCTCAAAAGGGCCAACAGGACTGGTGATACGCTGCTGATGCGGGTGTGGTCGGGACCACAAGGCTACCCAGTGGAGGGCCGGGGTTCTCCGCTCCACAGTTGGCTCCTTTGGGCTCGAGGAATCCAGCCTCTCAGCAGGTTACAGCTTGGATACCTTATACCTGGAACTCGTTGATCTTTGCCCAGGAAGTTCCAGAGTTTTCTTAATCAGTTACTCTCTCGGTTTGTTTACTGAGATGAACCTCAGCAGAGAGTGTTAGCAGAGGCAGATAAGAGTGGTATGCTTCCTCATACTCTGTAACCTGCCACCTTATCTTTTGCTTCCTCTGAAATGTCCTTTTCTAAAAAAGCATCCTCGTAGTTATCTCCCTACTTCCTGTTTCTCCCCTTTCACCTTCATCTCATCCTGGTTACCGCTGCCACCAAATCTGTCTAAAACACTACTTAATTGGATCATTCGGCTGCTCACGGATATCATGTAGTAGCTTGTTCCTGCTTTCTGTTTCAGTATTAAATCCCCTTTTGATTTTATATGGCCTGTTTTCCCTTCTCCCGGGTCTCCATCTGAGGCTGTATCCCCTAGAAGCTTTCTGTATCTGTGCCATACATTGTGCTTTTCCTGTTCTTCAGGGACTTCTCTTGTTCTTCCATTCTTGCCCCCGCCAATCTAATCTCTATGTGACAGATTTTGGTTTAGGGTTTTTAAATATAAATCTGATCATGTCACTCCCCTGCTAAGATTTCTGTTACACCTGAAGTAATGTGCAAACTCCTAACCTACCTTCCCCTTGAACCTCATTAAAGGCTGATTTCCCTCTAAGTGATTGCCCTGGTGCCATCCTCAGTTTCTCAAACATTCTGAGCTCTTTCCTGCCCTGGACCATCGCAGATACTCTCCTAGGGTCTACTGAGCTCCATTCCTCACAACTTTCAGCTTAAATGCCACCTTGTGGAGGCCTTCCTAGGCCATTCTATCTCTAACTAATCTTCCATGTTTCTTTATTACTCTGTCCTGTTTGATTTCTTCATTGCACTTAGCATGATTTATAATCACGTATTTGCTTGCTTCATTTGTTCATTTCTGTTTCCCCTACTAGGGTGTAAGCTCCCTGAGGATAGAAACCTTGTCTCTTTGTCTCTTTGGTTCACCAATATATACCCAGTGCCTGGCACATGGTAGGTCTTCAGTAAATGTTTTTGGGTGAAGGAAGGAAGAAAGCAACCCTAGCTAGAATCCTACTTCTGGAGAAAATTTCCCTTAAACAATATACACAGTTTAGTATTTATACTCTAGGTTTTTCTGTGTGTTTTGTGTTATGCACTGATAACTACTAGCTCATGAAGACAGATGTCGTGTGTCAGACAATGTCTTCTGCATCTCCCATGGTCCCTGGCACGTGCTCAGCCTGTAGTAGTTGAGGTGCTCAATAATACTTGTTCTGTGAGCCGGGGTGGGGGTTGGAGACTTGGTGCTGAGTCCTGCCCTTGGGTCAATATCATATGGAAGTATTTAGGTGATAGAACGTTTCCATTTCCCACTGCCAGGATTTTATATTGCCTTCAGGTGCCAAATAAATGCTCATATTTATTGCTGATGTGCGCCTGACATCTCTTTTTCCACAGATAATTTTGTGAAGCTCACATATTCTCATTTGCTTGGCCCCTTACAGCATTCCGCACCACCTCCCAAGGTGTACCCAGAGCTGAACACCCTTCCTTTGCTGCCATAATGTTTGTTACATATAAAGGTGGGGGCCCATCTCAGATGTCGTGGTCACAGGTAACTACCCAAAATATAGCTGGCATACTGGGATTTCTCAAGTCAGAGGAGATCTAAGAGTCATTAGCAAGCAGTGTTGGTTCTGGATTATGTAAATTAGGGGATGGAGGCTGGAGAAAAGAGATTGGGCTGGAATTGGAGGGTGGTGAGGATTATCGAATCTACATGGTCCCAAGTTGGATTTAAGGTTTTCTAGAGTGGACATGGACTGTAAGAGAACTCAGAGCAGCGTGAAAGAGATCTAAGCAGTGGGCTCTGTAGGTTGGGAAATTCTTGGGGTGCAGTATGTCCAAAGTGTGTGCCTGGAGAGTCGAGTGTGCAAGTGCATGTGGGCCATGGAGGCTTAGCAAGAGATGGGAAATTCTGTAGAACATCTTGGTATAGGAAGCACTGGTGGGACCTGGGGGAAAGTGGTTGGGAGATACGGAGGAGGAGGAAGACAAAAAGGGATTAAGTTGAGCTGAAGCATATCAGCAAGTGGCAGGAGAATTGGCTGAAGAACACAGGCAAGGCGTGAAAAGCCTGCTGACGCTGCTTGGCTGCAGGAGAAAGCAGGGGCTGTCCTCAGGGGAGGGAGAGATGCAAAGTCTTGAAGAGGTTAAGATACTACTGGAGCCGTGGGAGTAAGCAAAGTGCCCATTTCCAGGATAGGCAAGCTTTCTGGAGGTGTGGTATGTTTGGGAATTACAGAGTGAGGCGCTGGTTTCTGACCCGGATTGTGTGTCCTACCCACCCCGCCCTTGAATGAGAGTATCAGGTTGAATTTCATAGCTCTCTTCCCTTCCCCCCTGCTACCTCTGCCAGGGAGTCTCTGCTAAAATTATCCCCCTCCCTGAGCTGGGGGCTGCCCTTCTCTGCTGCTCTCCTCCCTCCTGCTTCCTGTAAGAGGGAAGAGGAAACGCAGGCCAAGAGAGTAGAGCCGTGATTCGAGGGGCGGGCAGGGCAGGTGTCTGGTCAGAGGAGGAACGTGGTAATGATGGCCACAGCCGAGGGAGCACTTGCCCCTTCCCAGTCAGCCCTCCCTGTGGGCCCACAAGCTAGTCATTTTCCTGGTTGTTGTTTTTTTTTTCAGAAGAGGGAAATGAGGCTCAAAGACTTCAAATACACAAAAAAGTTAGAAATGTAGCTTTAAGGCCATGAACTCTAGAATTAAATACATTTTGAATGCTGGCTCAGCCTTTTGAGATACTGGAGAGCTTGGCTAAGGTACCTAACTTCATGGAACCTCAGTTTCCCTTAGCTAAGAAGGAGGAAAATTGTTTCTCCCTTAAAGGGTCCCTGGGAGGATTAAATATGCGTGGTAAACAAATGACACAGTGTTAGCAGGTGTTAGCGCCTTACAAAAGCTTGAGAATTGTTAACTTGGGCACAATGAGCTTCAGTTTGGTATCAGGCATTCATACTCAGTGCTTAACACTGGTAAAGTTCTTTGCATGCATTCTTTTATTACCGTAACCCCCTAAGTTACTGCCTTTCTGTAGAAACCGAGGTCAGGATGTGAAACAAAATGTTAGCTTGAGTATATGCTCCTCCCTGACAGTATTGCTTCTGGGACTTCCTAGCGTGAAATTTTTTTTCTTCCCTCACTTTTTTGGGAAAAAAGGATATTTCCCACTGAACTGGGAGAATGAGCCTGAGACCAAAGGCTATTCCATCTTTGTGTCGGTTAGGTAGAGAATAGGCAGAAGTGTATCATGTTTGAAAAACCAGAAGGGAGAGAGACCTGTCCAGCACTATCAGGAAGGCCTTCTGTAGGCCTTGGGACCAAGGATTTGTCAAGATCTGGGGGGCAGGGTCCAATGGGGAGTAGAGGAGAAATGACTACCAGTGAGTACATCTAGAGAGAAAGTGTGGGGTGAAGAGGGTCACAGTTGCCTAGGTGAAACTAGAAAGTATGTAGTCGTGGAATCAGTGCTAGGCTGGATGTGCAGAGGGAAAGTGACGGCCGGAAGCCCTTAAAAGAGTGTAATGGTGTGAAGTCCAGTGGGCTGGGGGGCCAGATTTGAAGAGGTCTGAAAACAAGGGTGTAACCCAGAAAGTTCATGCTCAAATTGATGGGATGCCAAGAGGCTGGCTTGTTCACACACACCATCCCCTGCACATGTGTGCTGTTTGGTCGTTTTTGACAACCTTCCTTCAAATAGCAATTCCAGAAGCCTATAGGTTTTACTTTTTAGTATCATGGACCTCAAGAAAATCTATTGAAAACCTCAGAAGAGTACCTACCTTACACAGTGTACATACCTTATAGAATGCATGCATGGTTACAAATTTGTTTCCAGATTTTGGAGCTTTTCACAGAACTCCCCAGAAACCCATCTTCCAAATAAGACCCTAAGCACGGTACCTATGGGTTGTTGGGTGGGGGGGTGGTCATAGTTTACATATTATTTTCTTGTTCTTTCGAAGGATGGTAGCCCATGAGATTTTAACTATTTCTGATGTCAAACTCAAGATGATTACTCACAGATCCTTGCTCGCTAGCACCAGCAGCTGTACGTTTCCTTGACCCTCCCAATTTTAGAATCTGGTTTTTAGAATTGCAGCTGGCATTTCTACTTGGTTTGGTGGAATGAGGATTTTCCCAGTGCCACTGATCTCTGTCTTCAAATCTTGGAATCCGTAACCATGTCCTGATTTTCTAAGGAATAGTAAAGAAATAGTAACTGTGTTCTAGGGATTATTGAGTCCCTGTAGAAACTAGCAACCTTCGGGAGAGCCATATTCCACAAACAGGTGACAGTCTTTCTGTTTCCAAAGCCCCCCAAAGAATCTACTTTCACTTTGGCACTGTACTCTCCTTATTAAGGAAGTATTCCTCTCATCTTACACCTAATCCTTAGATCTCTCATGTTCTGCCTGCAGAGAGGGTGAATGTCAACAGCCTTCGGTCCCTCAAACCGTCATATATTTTTAATCGTTGCTGGTGGATTATAGGCCTTCAAGCTATAGGATTTATGTTAGAAAACATGCTTTTATTTTTAAAAAAAAGATTTATCTAAGTAATCTCTATATCCAGTATGGAGCCCGAATTTATAACCCCGAGATCAAGAGTCAAATGCTCCATCAGATGAGCCAGCCTGGTGCCCCAGACAACCTGCTTTTAATGACATCCATCTCACCTGCTTTGGACAGTTTCGATGAGCTGAGATCAAGATTTAATTATAGACCAGATGATTGGTCTCCTTATTCTGCCATCCCTGAACTTGGAATATCCTGGGGCAGACCCTACTTGGCGACAGATTCTAAACTACACATTGGCTCATGTTTGTAACTTCTAAGGTGAAGAGTTCACAGAGGAAGGAATGTCCTAGGAAAATCAGTTAAAAAAAAAAAAAAACAACTGACATCAGATAGAGTCGTTCAGCCTTGGCCAAAAGTTATTTATTGATCTGAAAGGGAAGAATAGCAGAGGACTTCCCCGTCATCTTACATTTGTGGGGCTCGTGATGAGATAAACTTAGTCCCTTCCCCCCACCTCCGGCCTCCCCCATACCCCTGGCCCACTTCCCTTTCTCCCCTGTTATCTAACCTGCCCTGATAGACCTAGGCAGGTGCTCAACAATCTAAATAGAAGCTCAGTCCCTCCCCGGGAGTCCAGGCTTCTGGTGTGATTGACATATTTGTCTGGGAAGTGGGGGAAAGGCCAGAACCCAAGGCTCTTACCCTGTTTCCCACACCCAGTGGGTAATAAGGGTGGGGTCAAAGGGATGACACCAAAGCATTATTAGCAGCCTCTGGCAGATAGAAATAGCAGAGCTGGAGGAGAAAACTGAAAATCAGATGGGTCGGGAAAGCTGGTCCAACAGATGAGGACTCAATCTTGGGAAGATATCGAGCTGGGAGCAACCCAACAGGAAAAGATGGCAGAGAGGCACCACTTACTCTCTCCGGTGAGTTACCCACCAGTGTGCCCAGACCTTAGATTCAGTCCATCCAGCGCCCACCTTTCACCTCTCCACGTTTGAAGAGAGGGCAGGACACTTGGGTGCAGATCCGGCACTCTCTGGGAACACAGGTTGGAGAGCATGCTGAGCCACTTTCCATCCTCGTCTGAGTGTTACAGAGGGCCCAGTGGCTTGGGGCTGGAAGCCTCCTTGTGACTATGGAGGGGACAGTGCTGCTGGCCCTGTTGAGGGAATTCCCTGTGGGGCTGTCCCTCAGGTTCTCCTCTCAACCCCTCCCCCGCACTGCTCTCACACCTGCTTCGACCCCAAGCAGATCAGATGTGGCGGGCGGGGGGGGGGGGGGGGTCATGTGACAGAGAGATGGCTATAAATAGCTGGGGGTGGGCATGCTGCCCCAGACGCCTTGGGGACAGGCAAGAGGACAGGCTTAAGGAGCTGTATTGGGGGAGGACGGGGGCAAGCAGGCCAAGGCCTGGCCCAGGAAGGGAACATGGAGCCAGCTGGGTCCCTGCGGCATGGGGGCGAACACAACTGGTGGGGTAGTGCTCCCCAGTACCAGTATATGCCCTTTGAACACTGCACCAGCTATGGACTGCCCTCCGAGAATGGGGCCCTTCAGCACAGGCTCCGGAGGGATGCAGGCGCCCGGGCCAACACCCGCCCCACACAGGTAAAGTCCTAAGTGGGGTGGGGGGGGTGGAATCGAGGAGATAGTTGTGTGATGGATTGGGGGAAATTAGGAATTAGGTGAAAAGAGGCAGAAGTCTTAGCCTTTTAACTTAGAAAAGTACATGGAAATGTGTTCAAAATAAGGGCTGAGCTCAGCTAAGCACGCACTTACAGAGAGACCCATGCAGTTTTATATAACCCTGACTAAGAGAACACCGAATCCTCGGGGGGCACGGCACAGTGCCACATGCTTGACTAGACCGTGCTTACATAACCTGCATGGAGGGATTTGTGTGGGAGCTCACACCTCTGTGTGTGCAAGCTGTCTCTTACACCCTCACCCCTGCGCAGACCCCACCAGATTTCTCCCTCCTGACCCTCAGTAGAACATGCAAAAAGAAACACTTCTGCAGAAAGCAGAAAAAAGGTGCTGGGATAAGTAGAGCAAACTAAATTGCATATGAGTGATCAAAGATACACCGGGGTCCAAATGAGCAGAAGAAATGCAATCAAACTTTTAGGGGGGAAGGTTGATCAAGAAAGAACCTATTAAGTGGTAGGCCCCAGGGAAGGTAGAGGTGTACGCTCCCAGCAACAGGAGATTGGGAGCTCTTTGGGGGCGTCCAGGGATAACCCCCCTCAGGAGTGGGAAGTGGTGGGTTGCAGACATCTAGAAAGGGGAAATGGGGGGCACAAGCGAAGGAAGGCTGCTGAGGTCATGGACAGACATGGAGGTGAGGGTCAGTGAGGAAATGTGATTGTGGAGTGTCACAGGATGGATCCTGTCAGGACCGGGAAGCCAGACTTTAAGAAGTGTTTTAGCTAAAGATGGGTCCGGGAGTGATTAGATGTGGGATCTAGACAGGGTGGGGAACTGAGGGGTGGCAGCATTGCAGGTCAAGAGTCTATAGGATTCACGTCTCAGTCCTAGTCAGTCTCCAACATGAGGCAACCCTGGGGATTCAGTAGGGGGTGGGGACAGTCAGGGGAGGCTGGGATGGTGAGTGGAAGGAGTTGGGGGGCGCTTCCTAGGGAAGCTGGAGCCTGCCCTGGCCTTGGAACAATGGATGGGATTGGACAGAAAGACCCCCTGCTCCTGGCCCAGAACGAGGGGGTTCCTCTCACCCGTGTTCACTGACCTACCCGGGTGGGGAGAGTGAAAACAAGTAAAAGGCACTTTCTGGTGACAGGAAACCAGGCAGACTAGCACGGAGCTTCGTGTTGGAAAGGAATGGTAAATTAATTTCGGAAGTGGAGTTGGCCTGAAAGCAAAGAAGAGGGGTTTGGACTTAAGTTTTTCTCTGTTTAATTTTTATTACGGAAAATGTCAAACTTAAAAATAGACCCGTGTAATGAATCCCCAAGCACCCCTTACCCAACTTCAACAATTATCAGTATTTTGTTGACATTGTTTCAGCTGTCCTTCCCATGCCCAGCCTCCCCGCTCCATACACCGGTGTTTTTGTTCATGAATCCCAGACACAGCCTCCCCTTCAGACTTGGGTTTCCCTCCCCTTCCCCCCACCCTACTCTGATGCCCTGCTTAGCCCTCTTTTGGCTCTTTTAGGTGTTTCCCAGCCAGGGTTTGGTTTGGAGTACCCCCTCCCTCACCTCCACCTGCCTGGGGCCAGAGGCAACTGAGACGGCAGGTGGAAGGAGGTGCCCTAAGCTGCATGGGTCGTGTCTGCTCTCGGGGGCCAGGTGGGGCAGGGAGGAACACACGGTCTCCCTTGGTCACTAACCTCACCCCAGAATATGAAACAGCCGTGAGCCGGGCAGTTAGTGTGCGCCTATCCAGAACTGGGGCGTAAACTCTGCTGCTCATATTGTGAAATCAGATCTCTCCTACCCAGGCTCTCCCAGAACCAGCAACACGGCCTGGCCTGACCCTGGCCCCGGACGATGGAGCCAGTGCAGTGGGGGGGAGGACAGATGGAAAGCAGTGAGAGCCCTTGTTCCCCCTGCCCCAAACACGCGTGCTCTGCACACACTGAGAGCAGAGGGCTACCTGATGGGAGGGGTGCCGCTCTGCCCTCTCCACACTCTGAGCACCTAGTTATCCTGCTCTGGGAACTCGCTTACCGGGACTGGTTCCTGTTGGTGTACAGGAGCACAGGGAGGCGAGGTGGATGGGCTTTCTCTGAGCTTGACAGAGCATCTGAGGGGCCTCCAGAAAGGCCACACACACCAAGACAGAGAAACCAAGAGTCACCTGCTCGTCTGTCCTCACGGGTCCACGTCAGGATTCCTAGGAGGGAGGCCCATGCAGAGAAGGGGGCAACTGGGATAGTTGAGGCAGAGGCTGAAGCACTGTAAGCTGAGCCACATACAAAACACCTATTGACGCTAATGTCCAGTCTTAGCAGAGTTCCCGTGTCACTACTTCAGACTTTAAAAAGCTGTTTTCCGTGTGGGTCTATGTGCTTCCCTCTTGTCTATTCCTTTTACCTCCAGCAAAACAGACATTTCCCATTGTCTCTGTGTCCAGATTTATGGCCATTACAAACAGCAATTCTCAGACAAGGAGCAGGAGCCAGGGATGCCCAAGAAGACGGGCTCCAGTGAGAGCGTGGACAGCAAGGATGAGGATCACTATTCTAAATGTCAAGGTGATGGGGCCTCAGGGCTAAAGGCATCTGGAATGGAAGGAGGTGCAGGGTCTAGGAGAATAACTGGGATGTGCCCGCCCTCCACCCTCCCCACATCCACATGGAAGTCCTCCTCCAAGCAACAAGGAAATGCATCTCTCCCTGTCTGTTCCCACTTTGCCTTGTTTCTGACTCTCCCTCCCTCCCACCCACCCCCAGGAAACAAGAGTTTTAGAAGGCATTCAAGTATCCCATGGGGAATTGGACTGGGGCGCCTTCGGAAGGGGCGGGGCAGCAGCCAGCAGAGAGGCGGAAAGAAGCTTGGTGAATGAGCCATAGAGCAAGACACCCCCCACCCCCACCCCAGTCCTCGGCTCCAGTCCTCAGTCAGAGCCCAGAGTAGTGACGGGATAGCTGCCCTTCTTTGCCCTTCCCTCTTCCCAGGCTGTGTGCACCGCCTGGGACATGTGGTGAGAAGAAAATTAGGAGAAGACTGGATCTTTCTGGTGCTCCTGGGACTGCTTATGGCTCTGGTTAGCTGGAGCATGGATTATGTCAGTGCCAAAAGCCTTCAGGGTAGGTTTACCGTGGCCCTTCACGCTCAGCCTCTCCCTGCACGGTGGCTGTTTCTCGAGTTCCTACCTAGGACACGTTGGGTGTGTTTTGGGAGGGGGTGTTGCCCAGAGGAGATCTGGCCCAGGACAAGACCAAACCTGGACCCAGAGCCCTTTCTCCTGCCCCTTCACCTGCTACCACCCAAGCTGACAGTGCCCCTCTAATCGGGTGACCAAATCATCCCCCATTTTCCCAGGACTTTTCTGGTTTGAGCACTGACCACCCTGAGTCCCAGGCACCCCTCAGTCCCGGGCAAACCAGCACAGCCTCTAACAATGTGCCTGCTCAAGAGGGCTTGGCAGCATTGCCGCGGACCCCACCTCCTACAAGAGGTGGGAACTTGAACAGGTCACGTCACCGCTCACAACTCAGGTTCCCCCGTGCGCAATGAGAACAGTACTGTCTCATGAGGTCAGACGGGATTGCTGGAGCATGAGGACGCTCGCGGCACACCGGTGTGCTGTGGCTGTGGGGGAGCGGTGACATCCCTGCCACCCTGGGACTGAGCCCGGGCCCGTGTCTCTGCAGCCTACAAGTGGACCTATTACCAGATGCAGCCCAACCTGCCTTTGCAGTACCTGGTCTGGGTCACCTTCCCACTAACTCTCATCCTCTTCAGTGCCCTCTTCTGCCACCTCATCTCTCCCCAGGCTGTTGGTGAGAATTGCGCCCCCTCCTCCCCGTGTCATGTGGTCAGCACAATCTCATTGGCCTGCAGACCTTTCCAGTCCACTTCCTCCCTCTCCCAGCCCTACTGACGGCCCTTTCCCCTGCTCTGCCATCATCCCCCCACCACTGCCTCTCCCCCCCACCCACCCCCATCACCACGTCCACTGTCTGGACGTTCATCTCCCTTTGAACCTCTAGCTGGAAGTTGCACATAATCCTTCTTTGACCATTGTAGGCTCTGGAATCCCTGAAATGAAAACAATACTCCGTGGGGTCATCCTGAAGGAATATCTCACCCTCAAGGCCTTTGTGGCCAAGGTTGTGGCCCTGACTGCGGGGCTGGGCAGTGGCATTCCTGTAGGGAAGGAGGTAGGTCCACCGATACTCCAGCAGGGGGCAGCACTGAGCCCAGAGGGAGCTCTAGGCGCAGACGTGGGGGCCGGCGCGCGGGGAGAGCCAGTGCCAGGGGGCACGAGGGAGGGGAAATCAACACTCAGGGAGGTCCTAGTCCTGAGGCAGAATGACAGACGCATCTGAGCTGGTAGGGACTTAGAACAGAGTCTCCCAGCCTGGGCACTGTGGACATTTTGGGCTGGATAATTCTTGGTTCCGAGGGGCTGTCCTGTGCATTGCGGGAGGTTTAGCAGCACCCCTGGCCTCTACTCCCTAGATGCCATAGTGCCCCCCAGTTTTGACAATCAGAGTATCTCCAGACACTGGCAAATGTCCCCGGCACCGGGCGGGTGGGGGGGGCGTGGAGAATCTCCCCCAGCTGAGGACCACTACCATGGAGACACTCCAGACCAATTTCCTTGTTTTAATATGCAGAAGCCCAGACCCAGAGAGGGACTGTGCTTTTCCCAAGGTTCCGCTCCTGTGCATTCTTGCGTCCCTACAGTCGGGATCCGCGTGGCAGCCAGTCTTTTCAAAATGCAATCAGTACTCGCTGACATCTGCTTCGGAACTACCGATGGCTTCCCAGTCTTCTTAAAATAAAATCCCAGCTTCTTCCCGGGGCCTGGGAGACCTGTGCTGATCTGGCTTCTCTCGGTCTGGTCTCCGGTCCTCCCAAGCTGCCCCCCCGCCGCCCGTTCACTGTGTTTGGGTGACAAGCTCTTCCCACCCCTCAACCACACAAGCGGTTCCTGTCCCAGGGCTCCCGCACTTGCTGTTCCCTCAGCCCAGAACATTCTTCCTTCTGACACGCACGCGGCTCACAACCTCATTTCAGTGGAGACACTAGTCAATTGTGACGCCAGCGCGCCTTCTCTAGCCCCCCATCGCACCCTTGTCTGTCCTGCCTCCTCCTCCCCCCCCCGCCCCCATCTTCTCCTCCGGGGCGTCGCTGAAAGGCTGGTCCGCCCCCTCCCTTCCTCTCGGGCTGCAGTTCCTGAGGACACACCCTCTGCTGCTCACGGCTGTATTTCGGGCCCTAGCTCAGTGCCCGGAGCCATCAGGCTTGTCCGCGGAATGCCACGCAGCCTCCCATCTGGGCCCCGGCCCCTGACCCGGCCCCTCCTTCTCTCTCCCAGGGCCCCTTTGTCCACATCGCCAGCATCTGTGCCGCTGTCCTCAGCAGGTTTATGTCGATGTTCTGTGGGGTCTATGAGGTAAGGTTGAGGAAGTAAGATGAGGGAGGGGCTGTGTGTGTTCAGGGTGTCGGGAGGGCTGCCTTGGCGCTGGGCTGGCCGTGATGCTGACGTGGGGCACTGCGCTAACCCACGCTCCCTTATCCTCCACACACATCCCCGACCCACCTACCCCAGCCACACATTGCAGCTGCCGTCCAGGATGCCCCTCCCTTCTTGACCTGCGCCCCTGCTCCGGGCCTGCACCCTGGCCAGTTCCTCTGCTGCCCGCCTGCCTACCCCTGTCCCCTTGTCTTCCTGGCCCAGACCCCACCCCTCATGAGCACTGCTGCCTGCCCCAGCCCTCTACCCTCCTCGTCCTGCGTGCTTCTCTGTTGCAGACCGTGTCTGGGCAGCTTGATCTCCTGGTGTCGGCCTGCGCGGTGGGCGTGGGATGCTGCTTTGCAGCCCCTATCGGAGGCAAGTCCCACCTCCTCCCTATCCGGTTCCCCGAGCACGACTTGGAAGGGGGTTGGAGTGGCTGCCTAGGCTTTGCGGTGGACAGGATGCTCGGATGCTCGCCAAAGGGACTAGTGGGCGGGCATTCAAGGAGCGACCCGGATCCCAGCCCCTGGTCTGCAGGTGCACGTACTTTTCTACCAGAGGGCTATGTGTTCCTTGGCGGCTGGTGGCTGTTTTATGCAGGCTTTATTGGTACCGTTGGTCTGAAGTCCTTTCTGTTTCTCTTGCCACTAACACTTCGTGTCCGGGGTGTCCCCATCTCCAGCCCCTCTCTGATGATCACTTAGTGGCTGACATACCTTCCACATATTTATCTTTATTTCATTTTCTATGTTTGGCCTTGCGCTATGAGGTCACTTCCTGTTTGCAAACTAACCGAGTGTCTCTTGGCCTGGGAATCACTGGGGGAGAGGGGGCCACTCTGATTCCCTGTGACTTAAGCCTCTCCTTCCGCCTTATTCCCCACCCTTGCTTGTTCTCCGTTCCTCTCTGCCCCCTTCCCTGCCCCTGCCATCTGTCTGTCTGTCTGTCTGTCCCCTAGTAGCAGCCATACTATTACACTGACATGCTGACGGTGGGCTGCGCCGTAGGAGTCGGCTGCTGCTTTGGGACGCCACTTGGAGGCAAGTGATTGACCCCCTCCTACATCAGTCCACTGCCCGGGCTGGCTCCCCGGCCAGGTTTTGTCAGCATCCCCAAGTGCGATATTACCTGTTAAAACGAAAGTATGACAAGAATAGCAAACTTTTACTGAGCATTTACTATGTGCAAGTGATGTTCTAAGCATCTCTCTACATTCATTCTTGCTAAAAGCCTTATGAGACCCACAGTGCGGAGGAGAGGGAGGAGAGTACTGATTACAGAGAGGGCAAGGGACTCGAGCGAGTGGAAGAGACAGGAATGAAAACCCAGGCAGCCTCCCTGTTCCCCTCCTTGTCATAAATAAAGCCTGTCGATATCGTTGGACGTTTGCCCTCCACTTACTACTACATCTTCTACCAGGAGACTCTCCGTAGTTTGTTCTCCAAGGGAAAACTTCCATTTGTGCATGTTACCAGGACACGGGGGTGTAGGTGGGCCTTACTTGGACTCATGGTCAGCTTTCACGAGGGCTGCGGATGGGACTTAGAGCCCCATAGCTCCCTGACAGTAACTCAAACCTGAGGTTAGCTCTTTCTGCACGTGGAAGGCAAAGGGTGGATTGTCAGACTGTTACCTTTGTCCTGGAACACTAACAAATGGGTCGGGGCACAGAAAGCAGTTGTACTTGTTTATTTACAACTCAGTGTGAGCTGTAACGGGATTAACACAGGGGGGGATTACATGGATCATTCATTGGTGATAAAAAGGACATCAAGTTGACAGCTGGGGAAACGAAATTGCAGGTAAAGCCTATGCTTCTTAAACACACCTGCTGTGAGAGGTATCTTTTCAATTATGAGAATGTCATCAGTGCCTTCATAGAGGAGTGTTCAGGTAGCTAACATGACTTGGCTCAGGAATGACGTAGGGATAAGCATTCAGAGTGAATGGAAGTGCGTCCCGCTCACTTGTCCTGATGCGGCGACAGCACACACAGCTCAGGGAGATCATGTCAGCTAGCATCCCATCTGCACTTCTGGCCTCAGCTCTTGTCGTTGAAGTCGCTAGTCCCCACAGTGAGGTGTGTGTTTGAGTTTCTGTACACGTTAGACGTTACACGCTTACATTTATACCCACTTTCACCTTTACTTACTCTTTTCACTTTACAAATCCAGAAGATCAAAAAAACATTTTTAGACAGGTAGACTTTTTAAATTTTTGTTTTTAATCAGCCAGATTCTTTTAAAATGAAGAGAATCTGTATTTTTTTTTTCTGTATAAAACTGGAATTTCTAGGATGAACAAGGAAGGTTTCTCTTGGTCCAGTGTAGAACATAGGAAAGATAAGAGAGTTATAGATAAAACATGCCTCTTGATGCGAGAAAAGATTCAGGACTGAAAAATTGAGATATTATTTTCAGGATGTTTATATTGAGTACAAGTAATAAATGTCCTGGCAGGTAGCTTTATGTGATTGTTTTTCTTTCTTTTCTTTTTTTTTTTTTTTTATGATCATAGAATAATCCTGAAAGAAAAAAATTAGTAAGGCAATTTATTTGCTATATAGCCAACTCTTAATTCCTTACACTGATGAAAGAAATCTGATTCAACATTCTGCTAAAATGACAAACATCCTTTTGCTTCCATCATCTGCCCTCTGGATGCTGTGCTGGATCCTGTGTTCCCAGGCACTCGCAGCTGAAAGGGTGGCTGGGCAGACAAACCGATCCTCACAGCCTGCTCAAAGTGTCTCCAGGGCATCTTGAGCAAAGTGCAAGGAAGACTGTGAGGACTGGGGGCTGTAATCACAGTAGATGAGAGAATTGCTAGAGGATGCAGGGGAACTGGAATGAGTCTGCACAGGGAAATGGGGCTGCATCATGAAGGTCCTCAGCGGCCACGCACAAGAATGTAGATTCTGTTCTCCAGGCTAGACTTTGTCCAAATGTGTTTTGCAGAGCACAGTTCTCCATGGTGTTAATAGATGTAACATATGAAAGGGTCCCAAGGTCAAAAAGTCAGAAAATACTATGTTAAACAGATAGTTTTTTTAAACTGGGAAAGTTATCAGAATGTTGGATATCCTGGCAGGCATTGTGAATATGCAAACTATGGCTCAAATACAGCATTTCCCACAGAATCCCTTTTGCAAGGAACTTCTCATGAGACTTATAGTGTATCATAGGTGGACTTTGGGAAATGCTATCATGGGTGAAGGGGAGCCACAGAAGAATTCTGACCGAGAAAGTGGCATGACAAGCTGTGCACATTTGTCCAATCCCTTTGGCAAATGTGTGCGGAATAAAACTGGCCTGTGGATTAACAGGATTCATCCAAGATTAACAACAAGACTATTGTCATAGCCCTGATGCTAGATGATGAGAGATGGAACTGGATGGAGGCAGAGGAGAGAGAGAGAAGAGGATGCTACATAAAGGCAATAGGAAGTCAAATTGACAGGACCTGGAGGTTGATTTTATGCGAGGTTATAGAGGATGAGAGAGGAAGAGGAATTGGGGCCAGCTCCCAAAGTTTATTTCAAAGAAAACTGGATGGACAGCAGTGCTAGTAAGCAAGACAAGGAATATAGGAAGTGAAAGAGGTCTGGAGGAGTTGATCAATTTTACTTTATTTTTTTAAAAAAAGATTTATTTTGGAGAAAGAGAGAGTGGGAGAGTTGGGGGGGGGTGAAGGGGCAGAGAGAGAGAGAATCTTCAAGCAGAATTCCCTGCTGAGTGCTGAGCTCCAGCCCTCCACCCATGAGATCGTGACCTGAGCTGAAACCAAGAGTCAAGAGTCAGACGCTTAACCGACTGAGCCACCCAGGCACCCCCAGTTTTACTTTGGATATGTTGAGTTTGAAGTTCTTGTGGCATGTCCAGGTGATACCAAATAGGCCACTGGATCGGTGAGTCTGAAGTTCAGGAACCGAGCTGAAAGGATCGCTTTGCTACCCAGTAGCATGGAGGTGGCAGATGAAGCCATGGGCATAAATGGAATTGAGAAAGTGTGTCTGGGTAGCAAGATCAGGTTCAAGGACAAGGCCCTGGCCTCGGCAGAGGCAAAGGAGCCCGAGCGGGGGAACAGAGAATATTCAGGGTGGCAGGAAAGAGCCATACTGCAGAACCTCGGAGACCAGAGAGTTTCCAAAAGCTGTTTGTGTTTGTAAGGCTTTGTTTGCTTTTAGCAGCACATTTTCTGTTTGGCTCAGACTAATATTAAAATCAGTTCTCATTCCTGAGGATACAGTGACAGACTGCTAGGGAAAGCATCCCAGAACCACCTCGCAGGAAAGAAAATCTAGCCTAGGGTTTCAAAAATGGTTGTAAAATATTCATAAGTTGGATAGCTTACACCCCAACAAATCAAAGCTGACTTTGGTTTTATTACTAGTCAGGAAAAGGAGAGAGACTTGCTCCACCTGCTTTTGACTGTGTCAAATCGTCCTTTTAGCCCAAGGACGCAGCTGCCTCACCTGTTGCGATTTGAGGAGCAGGGGAAGAAGGGGTGGCTGGTAGCTCTCCCTGCCCCCAATTCCCCCGACCCTTGGTCCGTTTTCTGAAATTTCACGCGTTCTGTTCTCTTGTGTTGTCTTTCCTTCTCGTCCTCTCCTCTCCTGTTCATCCACAGAACAGACACTAAGCCCTGCTGACGTACTAGGCATGGTATTAGGTGGTGGGTTGAGGACCACCCCACACCCCCATCCCCGCCGCTCCTCTCTGCATCTTGTTGGACCACATCCCTAGCCAGCATGAGCAACTGTATGGGTTAGAGCCTGAGGTTCCAGGAGACCGTTACTTCCCACTACTGCGTCCCTCGTGATCCGGGTCTCAGCAAAAGCACCTCAGGCCCGCAGCGGGGAGTGTGGGCGGGAGCCTCTGGCTTTTGTCTGCGCCTGACCACCTCCGCGCCCCGCAGGAGTGCTGTTCAGCATCGAGGTCACCTCTACGTACTTTGCTGTGCGGAACTACTGGCGAGGTTTCTTTGCGGCCACGTTCAGCGCCTTCGTTTTCCGCGTGCTGGCCGTGTGGAACAAGGACGCGGGTAACGGGCGGCCGGGGCTGGAGGCTGGAACCCGGGCGTGCAGGGAAGCTCCTTGGGGCAGTTTAGAACAGGAATGGATGGCGTTATTCGGGCAGAGGGCCCGAGGCCCAAGGATATAGGGCAAAGACCTAGGTCATGGTGTAGGAGGGCAGTGTTCAGGCCTAAACCCTGGGAACTCCGTGGAAGAAGAGCCGGCGGCCCGGGAGGGAGGAAGGAGCGGACCCGCGGCTGATGGCTTCCGCTTCCCCCCGGGTTTCTGCGGCGCTCCCACCGTGATGCCTGGCCCTTGCACCCCACAGTCACCATCACTGCTCTGTTCAGAACCAATTTCCGAATGGATTTCCCCTTTGACCTGCAGGAGCTCCCCGCCTTCGCCGTCATCGGGTCAGTGGGGTCGGCTGCTGGGGCGGGGCGCGGCTGGGGCGGAAGGGGCCCCAGCTGGAAGAAGGTGGGGCCAGAGTGTGAATCGCTGCGGGCAGGAGGGCGGAGAGGGAGGGCGGCCGCCTGCTGTTCGTCCCGCCGCGGGCAGGGCCGGGAGCAGGGGTCCATGGCTGTACAACTCCCGCCCTCAGGATTTGCTGTGGCTTCCTGGGAGCGGTATTTGTGTACCTGCATCGCCAAGTCATGCTCGGTGTCCGAAAGAACAAGGCCCTCAGCCGGTTTCTGGCGAAGCAGTGAGTCACTGCCCTTCTGGGTCCCACCCGGGTCCTTTCTGCTCTCTCCACGAGCCCCTCCCGTTTAATCTTTGTCAAAGGCCGTCCTTGCCTTTAGGTGGCTTGCGGTGAAATACAGAAGCCCGGATGCTCCGTAGGGAGCGAGCGGCGTGGCCCGCCCCTCAAAGGTTGCGCGTTGGTGGCAAGAGCGCTCTGTGTTTAAAGAGCTGAGGCTGCCGCGGGCTACCGGGGCCCAGCTCCCAGCTCAGTGTGGCGTCCACGGGGCTAACTTGCGGGGTTCCGCTCTGTTTCTTTCTCAGCCGCCTGCTGTATCCTGGAATAGTCACCTTTGTCATCGCCTCATTCACCTTTCCGCCAGGAATGGGTCAATTCATGGCTGGAGAGGTCAGCTCCAAGGAGTCTGGGGGGCGGTCGGGTCACTGAGCACATGACAGGGACTCCGCCAGGGCCGGGCCACAGCGCAGACATCCCTCAGGCTTCTGAGCGCTTTTAAGCCGGAGGGTAGAACCTCTCCCCGAGAGAAGAGCAAGAGAGCCCCTTGAACAATGAGACTGGTAGAGCAGTTCTGTACAAAGCCCTAGTACCCGACCTCCTTGGAGACCTGCCGCCTTCTGCTTCCTCCCCTCATAGTTGATGCCTCGTGAAGCCATCAGTACCCTGTTTGACAACAACACGTGGGTAAAGCATGTGGGTGACCCTGAAAGCCTGGGCCAGTCGGCCGTGTGGATCCACCCACAGGTCAACGTGGTCATCATCATCTTCCTCTTCTTTATCATGAAGGTACTCCTTGTGCACTCCTGACCCCTTAAGCTTCTGTCTGTTTTCAACCTGGAACACACAGTTTGCATAGGGTAGGAGAGGGTACAACTTCATCGGGGCTTTGTCCAACCTAAAGAGAAATAGCTGTGAAACCATAGCCTAGGTAAGTTGCTCACCTATAGAAGTAAGCCAATATCTGGGTTAATTGCTCCCTTCATGTCAACTTAGCAATGTTGCCATAATTACCATAAGCCTGCTAAAGGTTCCACTTGCTAAATGATTAAGACATCACAGCAGCCTAGTAAATGAGGACGAGACAGGGTTGAGCTATACAGATAACTGTGTAAACATCTGACTTAAATTAACCAAATCCCCCTCACATATTAGATAATTAGGTACTTCATTCTCCTGTATCCAATTATCCATCTTTAGACGATTTGCATATCCATTTTTCTCCAACTAGTGGGTAATCTCTTTTCTAGAACTGCCAAAGAGATTAAATATTTAACTCAATTTTATTAGTGACTATAATTTTTTAAGGCTTTATTTAGAGAGAGAAAGCACGTGTGCATGAGCTCAGGGATGGAGAGGGAGAAGGAGAGAGAGAATCTTAAGCAGACTCCCTGCCGAGCATGGAGGCTGACATGGGGCTTGATCCCACGACCCTGAGATCATGACCTGAAGCAAAATCAAGAATCAGACGTTTAACCGACTGGGCCACCCAGGCGCCCCTATAAGTAATTTTTTTTTTAATGATTTTACTTATTTATTTGACAGAGAGAGATACAGCGAGAGAGGGAACACAAGCAGGGGGAGTGGGAGAGGGAGAAGCAGGCCTCCCGCTGAGCAAGGAGCCCGATGTGGGGCTCGATCCCAGGACCCTGGGATCATGACCTGAGCCGAAGGCAGACGCCTAACGACTGAGCCACCCAGGCGCCCCACCCTATAAGTAATTTTTGTACATGTTATTATTCCCTCTTTTGGTGGTGAGGCCATGAGGATTTTGCCACTCTCCAGTCATTTTCTCCTCATTTCAATTAGGAGGCCAAAGCTGGCCTCTTCCATGTCTGTCCATCAAGGACCACGTCTTCATTGGCTTCTCAGTCACTGCTTTATACAAAGACTTTTTTTTTTCTACCACCCCCGGTTGTGACATCTATTACAATTGCTGCTTCCCCCCCTCTCCTTTTTTTTTCTTTTTCAGTGACTGCGTTATTACGAATGGTATGTCTTGCCTGAATGATCCAACATTTTCCTCTGTATATTAGGGTTCTCATTCAAAAGTCTGTCCACACTGAACTTTCATGCTTTTGAATACCTTGCTATTCACTTATTCATGATACATTTTGTGAATCTATATTTTCCCAGGATATGAGTCACTAAGTTATATTTACAATATGATAGCTGTTATGGGTTCATTTATTCCATAAATGTTATTACACACCTACCATGTGCCAAATAGATAATATTTGATTGTTGAACTTTGGCAAATCTCATGCTTATGGTTGAAAAGTTGTCTTTTTTTTTTTTAAGATTTTATTTATTTATTTGACAGAGACATAGCTAGAGGGAACACAAGCAGGGGGAGTGGGAGAGGGAGAAGCAGGCTTCCTGCTGAGCAGGGAGCCCGATGCGGGGCTTGATCCCAGAACCCTGGGATCCTGACCTGAGCCGAAGGCAGATGCTTAATGACTGAGCCACCCAGGTGCCCCGAAAAAAATGTCTTTGTTTTTGGCTGTTCCTTTAATGTACTTGTCAAGGATCCTGTGATTAAAAACACCAGGTGCTTGGGCGCCTGGGTGGCTCAGTTGGTTAAGCGACTGCCTTCAGCTCAGGTCATGATCCCAGGGTCCTGGGATCGAGTCCCACATCGGGCTCCTGGCTCAGCGGGGAGCCTGCTTCTCCCTCTGAACCTCTCCCCTCTCATGCTGTTTCTCTCCTGCTCACTCTCTAATAAATAAATAAATAAATAATCTTTAAAAACACCAGGTGCTTGACACATTGGATTCCAACTCTGTGACTTACCTTCTCAGGATTTGCTCTGGGTTTCTAAAAGCTGGATCTCTGCATGTTCTTTCCCATTCCACTCCATGTGCATTCAGTGGGTCGGCAGCTTCCATATTTTGTACGCCTACTTTATTAATTAGGTCTTTTTTATGTCTTCTTCAAAAGATTTGATATTTTCATTGTAAATAAGTTCTCAGTGCCTTGTTAGGGAATTGACTTTTGGGCTTTCAATACAGAGTTCCTCTTCTCTAACTTATAAATCCCAGCTTCCTGTAAGTAACCAAGTCCAAGCTTTGATAGTATCTCAGAATTTATTGTTCAAGGATAATGATTGTGTTTTCCTGATGTTCCTCTAGACTGAACTATATGGTAACTCTGGGATCATACATACTTTTAAAATGTCAAGCTCTTGCAAAGCTTTATAGAAACAAAATACCGTGTATTTTTCAACACTTCCCCTACACCTCACCTCACCTCCCCAGATTCCCAAGTATATAGCTGGATTTGACTTCACAGATTAAAGTTTATCCTGAGAAGCCTACTTGGATTATATAGCAGGACTCAACTGTATGTTGCTATTAGTAATTTCTCACTGAGTCACATCCTTGATAATGTTTACATCATAAGCATAACAGGGGAAGAAACTCACATATTTCCTGGGCTGTATTTCAAGCCCCACAGTTTGCATCAGGCCTATGCCATTCCATAATATTTATAAATGTAACACCACTCGTTCCTATAAATCCGTGATATTGTCTGATTATCACTGCCTCCAGCATTTTCACTTTTCTGTTACTGGGCACATACGCATCCATCCCTTTATTTATTCCTAAGTGTAGGTAATAGGCTATATAGCCAAATTAGAATATGAAAGTGACTAGAACTATTTTTCCACAGTCTGGTTTGAAATTTAGCCTGTGTGGGCTTCTGGTGGTGGCCGGACAGGCAGATAAGGTTCTCAGCTATTGATGAAGGGAACTTCCATCTTCCTCAATCTTAAGACATGGGAAGTATCATCATGTTGTAAGTCAGCAGCTGCTCAATGGGTATGAATAAAATTACAACCGCTCAGTTTTGCTTTTTAATAAGCCTAATGTTATTATCTAGTATCACTGATCAGCATAGCCTGAAGGCTCTGTAGAATTCTCCATAACACTCCTTGTCAAGGGTCTAAATGAAGTGGAATCTGTCATGATGGTCTCTAGTTTCCCAGTTCTCTAGAATTGGGTGTTGAAATTCTTGGGAGTTATTTGTGTTCTACATTATTTACATTGCTTCTGGATCTTTCCTTTCGTGTGCTAATAGCTCAAAAAGTTTTCTAGCCTCATATCATTCTTTGTCCTTAGGAGTTGATCACTTCAGTGCCCTCTGATCCTCATCTGTTCTTCCACATATCTTGGGGGATAATCCCAAATTCATCCTCTGAAATCAGACCTATCAGCCACCTATAAGCTGTATTACTGGAGCTTTCAGATTAACCCAAGCCTACAAAATCCATTACGGCTTTCATGTGCTTATTCCAAAGAGATGGTACAGAATAGTTCAAAGGGTCTCCAATTGTTATGTCACAATCATTTGCAAAAGTTAAGTAAGTTACAAGTGCCCAGAACTCCGTGTCCATGTAGACTGACGTGGTGTCTAGTTATCTGCAGTTTCAACAAATTACCCAACAAGCATTTCTGTTGGGTGTTTCAGCAAATAGTAGCTCTGAGAAGCCTTTTCTGTGCTGTATGGACACTATTTGACCAGGCTCTCTTCTTTCTTTCCTTCCTCCCTCCTTCCCTCCCCTGTGACCTACCTACATCCTACCTGCGTTGATGAGCACCACTCCAGGGCTGAGAGCAGGCAGAGAAAACAAGACACACAGTTGCCCTATACTCCAGGCTTTCTCGTCTATATTCTCTTCATATGTACATTTGACTTTGCAGTTCTTAGCTGTTCTACATGGTCATATTCTGACATGAAGAAGTATACATTTTGTCTCATCTCAGAGCTTTTGGGATGAAGACTTTGTCATGGCCTCTTGACATCAGCCCTGGCTCAAGGGAATCTTTCTAAGGTTCAGAAAAGTAAAAAATGTATTTCTCATTTGCTTACAATGCACTTGGTACAGATTTTCAATTACAAATATTTCGATTTGTTCTGATTTAGCTGCTACCATCTTTCACCACGTGAGTTTGAGATCCTTTTGTAAGATTGGCTTACTTATTTTGGAAGTGACATATAAACCTGTTTCTAAATTTACATGTTGTGTCTCATATTTTTATTTCTTTTACAGATATTTCAAAAGTTCAACCAATACTCCTTTTCCACTCTATTTCTCAGTTCTTCCACATTCTTTGCCACAGAATGTACATGTTGCTTTTGCTAAAATTGTCCTGATTTCTGTTGGAATACTACCTGACAGAGTTGGCCTTTAAGATCTTTTCTGTTACACTGGCTAGCTTTCTCAGTGTGCCCTTCCAATATGGCTAGGATAGATCTGATCTTTTGAACCTCTGTTTAATGTGATGTGATGCTAAAGGAAATGACTCAGGCAGAACAGTCTTCACTCCAGGTTCCCTTGTGAGGTTTCCATATAAGTGGGTTTCTAGATGACCATATCATTAAATTACTCACATAGGAAGTCACTAAAACTCTAAGATGTCTGCCACTTAGAGCTGGGCTCTTTCTCAGAAACACAATCTGACCAGGAAAAGATATCCTCCAGCTTCAGAAGTTTCAGGCTGTTCTGCTGAGGTGACCTTTTTGGGCTAAGAGGGTATAGTATAGGCTAGAACCCTTCTGGAGCAGTGACAGGTGTTGTCAGGGGCTCCACTCCTTGTTCTAGATTGCCTGAAGGCAAATATAGTCATTCCAAGTAGAAACGATCATCAGGAGGAACTTTCTTATAGTATTGTTTTTGGTGGTCTTTACCCTGAGCCGAGTACTCCACGTTTTTGGTTCTGGAGGAGGGGTGCAGACAAGATGGCTTCCGGAAGGATTAGCTATCCCAGGGTTTCTGTGACTCTTGAGGCAAGAGGGAGGGTTGGAAGTGGGGAGGGAGTGGAGTATATTGGGCAGAGTTGAGAGGGTGTCCTGATGCCTCTTTTTACTCCAGTTCTGGATGTCCATCGTGGCCACCACTATGCCTATACCCTGCGGAGGCTTCATGCCTGTGTTTGTGCTCGGTAAGTTCTGATGGGAAGCCTGGAATCTTGCTGATAGTCGCAATCTAGGGTACTGGCAAATTAAGGAAAGGCCTGGAATGCCGGGGGCTTGTATTTGGTCTTAATGCCAAGGAGGCTCTGAAATATAGAGGATAAGGAACTCAGATCTTTCAACACCTTCCTTTCTTTTGTCTTTCCTCCAGGAGCTGCATTTGGAAGGCTGGTAGGAGAGATCATGGCCATGCTATTCCCTGATGGTATCCTATTTGATGACATCATCTACAAGATCCTACCCGGGGGCTATGCAGTAATTGGTGAGACACATTCCACCCTCCGGTAACCCCTACCAGACGCACTCAAACTCTCCCATGACATCTTTATTCCAGACAAACTACACAATGCTTAATTTTATGCTATTGATTCAACTTTTATTCAAATAATCAACCCTTGGCTCTGATTCTCATTAGCTCTCATTGAACGTCTTTGAGCCTTAGTTTCTTTATGAGAAAAGGGATTATGGGGATTAAACGAGATAATAAGAACGAAAGCACCTAAGATTGTGTCTGAATGTTTGGTAAGGGTTTCTCCTTTCCTTCCAAAGAATCATAGAATCAACAGTGCAGGTGACTGGCTTGGATACTCTCAAACTGCAGGTGTGCTAATGCTGACAGGACTTAAGAGTACATGACTAAGAGCTAAGAAACACGGGCTCTGTACTCATCCTTGCCACTTGTCACCTGGATGACTGTGGAGCAAGTTAGCTACATTTCTGCACCTGAGTTTCTTTATTGTAAAATGACTTCTGAGATATCTTACAGCCCTAACATTCTGAGAATCTGTGATAATCTTTTTCTCATTAAATCCACAATCCCATCCAACCAAAACCCTGTCTAACAAATACAGTGGCCAGTATAATCCTCAAAATTATTATGCCTCTGCCCTCCTTTTCTTCTTCACAAAAACCCCGTAACATCTAAGACCATGCCTCCCTTAAATATAGAAGAATCAGGCAGCTCTCCAGTGCATATGCTGTCCTTACTCCCCCATCACAGACCTTTAAGAAAGCCTCTTTCATCAGTAAGAGTCACTTGCTCTTATTCCCCATCTTCATGACTCTCAGGTATCACCCCATCCTCCCTGGTGGACATTTCCCAGGATACATATCTCCTGTGACAGTTTATATTCTGAAGTATATCATGTGTACCATCTTGTAGAATTATTCCTCCCAGTATTTCCCTTTTGTGACTTTTCTTTTTTTAAGTAAGCTCTACACCCAACGTGGGGCCTGAACTCACGACCCTGAGATCAAGAGTCACATGCTCTATCAATTGTGCCCCTCTCTTTTGTGTCTTTTTCTTTTTTTTTTTTTTTAAAGATTTTATTTATTTATTTGACAGAGAGAGAGAGATAGCGAGAGCAGGAACACAAGCAGGGGGAGTGGGAGAGGGAGAAGCAGGCTTCCCGCTGAGCAGGGAGCCTGATATGGGGCTCAATCCCAGGACCCTGGGATCATGACCTGAGCCGAAGGCAGACGCTTAACGACTGAGCCACCCAGGCGCCCTTTTGTGTCTTTTTCTTGTTCTCTTTTCATGTATACCTTCTAGTGACTATTTTTGTTGATGGGAGAGCATAACTAAAAACAAATAAGATTCTGTTTTCGAAGAGTTCGTAGAATCATAACATTTTAGATCTGCAAGTGTCTTACAACTTATTTAATGACCTTTTTTTTTTTAATTTTTTTTATTTATTTATTTGAGACAGAGAGAATGAGAGAGAGAGAGCACATGAGAGGGGGGAGGGTCAGAGGCAGAAGCAGGCTCCCCGCCGAGCAGGGAGCCCGATGCGGGACTCGATCCAGGGACTCCAGGATCATGACCTGAGCCGAAGGCAGTCGCTTAACCAACTGAGCCACCCAGGCGCCCTAATGACCTTTTTTACCTTAGAGATGCGAGTATGGGATTCCAGAAGGATCAAGTTCTACACATACAGTTGAGAAATTGTAGAATCAGGATCTGATGCAGCTGTCATTACCCCAAGTTCACAGCATGAGTCCTGGGTTTTGACTCTCTTCACTCATAAATTGTTGGCATCAAAACCTGGGGTCCAATGGAAAATGCCATCACTGGGTTTTAGAATGCTCAGTTAAGAATGATCCAAACTTGGGCACCTGGGTGGCTCAGTCGGTTAAGCGACGGCCTTCGGCTCAGGTCATGATCCTGGAGTCCCGGGATCGACTCCCGCATCGGGCTCCCTGCTCGGCGGGGAGTCTGCTTCTCCCTCTGACCCTCCTCCCTCTCGTGCTCTCTGTCTCTCATTCTCTCTCTTGCAAATAAATAAATAAAATCTTAAAAAAAAAAAAAAACTTTTGGGGTGCCTGGATGGCTCAGTCAATAGAACATGTGATTCCTGATCTCAGGGTTGTGAGTTTGAGCTCCATGTTGGATGTAGAGATCACTTAAAAAAAAAAAAAAAAAAAGAATGATCCAAACTTTCAAAAGCAAGGAATAGATAGGACATCACTATCTTCATTTTACAAATGAAAACTTGGGCACACGCAATGATCTTGTAAATTACCAAAGGACATAGAATGAGATCAAAATGATTTGCTAACAGTTTTCTAGCCCCCACTCTTGACAGATGGTTATGTCAGGAATGTTGGCGTTGACCAGGATCCTGTCTGCCATCACATCCCCACTTGCCCTCCATGCCAAGAATGGCAGCCCTAACCCACCGGTACATTCCTGTGTCATTCTAGGGGCAGCAGCGCTGACTGGTGCAGTATCCCACACAGTCTCCACAGCTGTGATCTGCTTCGAATTAACGGGTCAGATTGCCCACATCTTACCCATGATGGTGGCTGTCATCTTGGCCAACATGGTGGCTCAGAGCCTGCAGCCCTCTCTCTATGACAGCATCATCCAGGTCAAGAAGCTACCCTACTTGCCTGACCTTGGTTGGAACCAGCTCAGGTCAGGGCACCAGCTGGAATTAATTCAGACTGGATGGGGTGAGGGGCGGGAGCTTCTGAGGTTGAGACTGAGGTTAGGATCAACATTTGGAAACATTGCCTTTTACTTATTTTGATATTCCCATGGACTTAATGAATATTACGAGTGATGGAATGCATGGCAAACCTCACGGGAGGAATGGAAGGAACAGCAAAGGAACAAGCATATGGTGGGGCTAACCCCCCATGCCTTCTCCCCCCATAGCAAATTTACCATCTTTGTTGAGGACATCATGGTACGTGATGTGAAGTTTGTTTCAGCCACTTGCACATACGGGGAATTGCGAACCCTGCTCCAGACCACCACGGTCAAGACTTTACCACTGGTTGATTCAAAAGGTCAGTGGGAAGAAAGGAAGCAGACTCCTGAGCTCCTGAACAAGGGCTCCACAGAGGTGGAGGAGGCACTGAAGTATGGGCTTATCTTTAGGGACCACCCAGTCTGCCACAGGATACCCAGCCTGTGTTCCTTAGGGAACACAATCATCTTCAAGAAGGAACAATACAGCCAGAACACAAGCAAAAGAAGATAGTTAAAAATCCAATTAGAGAGGGGCACCTGGGTGGCTCAGTCGAGCGTCTGACTCAATTTCGGCTGGGGTGGTACTTTCTGGATCGTAATCTCTGGATCATGAAATCAGGCCTGAATTGGGCTCCATGCTCAGCAGGGCATCTGCTTGGGATTCTTTCTCTCGCTCTGCCCCTCCCCCTGCTCTCTCTTTCTCTCTAAAATAAATGAATCTTTGGGATGCCTGGGTGGCTCAGTCATTAAGCATCTGCCTTCAGCTCAGGTCATGGTCCCAGGGTCCTGGGATCAAGCCCCACATTGAGCTCCCCGCTCAGCAGGAAGCCTGCTTCTCCCTCTCCCGCTCCCTCTGTTTGTGTTCCCTCTCTTGCTATGTCTCCTCTGTCAAATAAATAAAAGTCTTTAAAAAAATAAAAAATAAAATAAATGAATCTTAAAAAAAAATCCAATTAGAGAACTACAGCCGATGCTCATTAGTCATTGTAGCTATGTTCTCTAAAGTCACAATTAACAATGAATTAGAGAGACTATACTGACACATTGCCCTGGAGAAAATACAGGGTTATGTTCCTCTGGTCACATTTTCTTCAACCAATGAATGCATAAACTTATTTTATGTGTGTTTCTCTTTAAAGACACCTTCTTTAATATATACTGTTGATTCATTAACTAGAATTCATGGCCAACAGGGCTCCAACTCATGCCTGAACGAAGCTTACCTAGCAGGCGTATTTTCTCCATCAGGCACATCACAGTGGACTATGAAAAAAAATGCTGGTTTATAATATGAGGTCTGAGACAAGAAGAGAATGTCACTTTTCTAACCTCAGCTGGGAAGATGTGCAGGGGGAGGCTCCAGTGGTTTTTTGGCTCGCGCAGGTCTGTGAATGACAGTGAAGGCATCTGGAGCACTGATTTGGGGTTTACAAATACCTGTACTTTAGCCAGAAGGCAAATTCGCAAACAGGGCATTCATGAATAGTGAGGCTTAGCTGTAAATCTGGAGCCCCTTAGGTGGTTCTCTTGGCTACTTAGCTAAATGGTAGCTGTTCTTCAATGCCCAAATTGAGGGACAGATGAAACTGTTCTGTATGAAGGAGTGAATGGTATTATTTCTTTTTAATTTTTTAAAAGATGTATTTATTATTATTAGAGAAACAGAGAGAAAGAGAGCAGGAGGGAGGGGCAGAGGGAGAGGGAGATATCCAAGCAGACTCCACACTGAGCCCAGAGCCTGACCCAGATCTCGATCTCATGACCCTGAGGTCATAACCCGGGCTGAAACCAAGAGTCAGACACTTAACCAACTGCACCACCCAGGTGCCCCTTTTTAAAATTTATTTTTATTTATTTATGGAATGAATGGTCTTAAAGCAGTGCTTTCATGTCACTTCCTTCACCATCCTTTCCGTCCACCTTTAGCACTTAGTCCTGCTCTGTATCTTTTTTTTTTTAAAAGATTTTATTCATTTATTTGACAGAGAGAGAGAGCATAAGCAAGGGGAGCAGCAGGCAGAGGGAGAGGGAGGCAGAGGGAGAGGGAGGAGCAGCTACCCATCCCCCAGCAGGAAGCCAGACATGGGGCTCAGTCCCAGGATCCCAGGATCATGACCTGAGCCAAAGGCAGATGCTTAACGAATGAGCCACCCCGGCATCCCTGTATTATTTCTTTTTTTTTTAAATTAATTAATTTATTTATTTGAGAGAGAGAGAATGAGAGAGAGCACATGAGAGGGGGGAGGGTCAGAGGGAGAAGCAGACTCCCCGCCGAGCAGGGAGCCCGATGCGGGACTCGATCCCGGGACTCCAGGATCATGACCTGAGCCGAAGGCAGTTGCTCAACCAACTGAGCCACCCAGGCGCCCACCCTGTATTATTTCTTATTGGAGTTTATATCTATGTCTCACTAGGTTGGGAATTCTTTGAGAGCAGAGACTATAACTTCTATCTCCTTCAGACTGCCTCCTAGGTGTTTACTAGATATTAAATAAATACTTGCCCAATGTTTGGATTCATGTAATTAAGAAGAATCAAGTAGGGCCATTTAGAGCCATTAAGTTTGTTAGTTCCTGATTTCCAATAATCAGAAAGTCCACGTTGTTCAAGTTAGATTCATTTTAATATTTTCCCCAGATCCCAAATACTTTGTAAGTGGTCTCTAAAGCAGTGGCTTTTCATTGGAGCAGGGGTACAGCCAGTGAGGTGCAGGGTTATCATAATTACGACTAAGACCTGATGGTAAGATTTATCTTAATAACACTGCCCCGATTTTATGGGCTTAAAACGACAAAAATGTTCGTTATGGTAGCAGAATTTCCATATATGAAAGACCTCCCCAGGAAAAGTAAGCATTCTGTTTATATCCTAGAAGGACCCAGTCTTTTAAGTGATTAAACATCAGATATCCTTGTAGACTTCTTTCAAAGTATATTCACATCTCAGTCTATATAAATGGTTTTTGAAGTTTTCTGGAGACAGGGTTGATTAGCTGTCTTACTACCAAGTTCCCCTGTTTACCAACAGCCTGTATAAGGAGGGGCTGCATCAAAGTAAGTACAAATTAGCACCAGTTAGCATACTATCAGTTGGGTCTCTAAGTGCGAAATGAGTGAAATAAAAGGGATTGAGTGAGGTCAATCCTGGAAGATGTTTGAAATGAGCTTTCAGGAAGAGATGGTAAAAGCTGGAAAAAGAAGCAGGGGTGCTGGGCTTCTGTCCCCGGCTCAATCCTGCGGAGTGGCGGCGGGGGCGGGGGCATCGCGCGCAGGCCCTCAGGCTGAGCTGGGCTCTCCTCCAGATTCGATGATCCTGCTGGGCTCCGTGGAGCGGTCAGAGCTGCAGGCCCTCCTTCAGCGCCACCTGTGCCCCGAGCGGAGGTTGCGGGCAGCCCAGGACATGGCCAGGAAGCTGTCTGAGCTGCCCTTCGACGGAAAGCCTCGGCCAGCGGGCAAGGGACACCAAGGCATCTCACCCGAGGGCCGGAGGGAGTCCTTTGCCTTTGTGGATGAGGATGAAGACGAGGACCTCTCTGGGAAGCCCGAGGTGACCAGGCAGGGACGGTCTGGGGGAGCAGGATAGAGTGGGGCAAAGGGAAAGTAGGAGGAGGGAGACGGGATCCTGGTCACTGAGAAAGTCCAAGAGCCCAGTGCCCTGGGGGCCAGGGACTGAAGGAGATCCGGTTGCAGATGATGGTACCCATGAGAACTCAAAGGGATATAGGAAATCTGAACGGGTGTGGGGGCAAATGGATGTAGAGAGAATTCCCGGGACACTAGCTGATAAAGGCAGGAAAGCGCTAGGCAGCCTCTTACCCAGGACTGAGAATTTTTACTGTTCCTTACAGCTGCTCCCTCTCCCTCCTCCTCACCCCTTTCCTACTGCCCCACTCTCCCCCGAAGAGTCCAATGGGCCCCTGCACAGCCACAAACAGCAGCTAGAAGCACCGCAGCCTGCAGGTGACGATTCTCCCAGCATGCACCCTCACTCATGCCTCGTGGGTTCTCTCTGGGCTCTCCTCCACCCAAGGGCTGCTCCTCTAAGGAGGGATGAGAGCAGGGGTGGGTGGGAAGGGAGTCCTAATCATGGAGTCTCCATATTACTGCCCCAAGGGGTGGGGGCAAGGGCTGATTTGGGGGGGTAGGACAGAAGGTGTCTGTGGAGGTGAGGCATCTGGGAAGAACACACTGTATGTGGCAAAGTGTGAGGGGCCCCTCCAGAGCCCCTGCCCCCACCCCCGCCATTTCCTCCCAGGACAGATACGACTTTGTTTCCATTTCCATCCGCTCGCCACTCCTCTCAGGTCAAAGACCCTCTGTCTTTTGGTCCCTGCTGCGCTGCTTACTGGGCAGACCTCGCCCCACAAAGAAAACAACCCAGGTGAGAGCAGATGTGCTGTGGAGGGTGAACAGGGAAAGGGGCATGCATCTGAGGACTGAGAAACCCATGGTCCTTAAGTCAGAGGGGAGGAGGTCCCAGCACAGAGAAGTTTCATCACAGGGTGGGAATGATGAGCAGGAGAAAGCAGGCATCCGTGGCCCTGGCCTGTGAGGTCTGCTAACGGCCAGGGGGACCACAGCTGCCATGGGGACAAAAGGAGAGAACTCAGACCTGTGGCTTTCTTCTCTAGGAGCCAATGGATTTCGTGGACAACATGCCACCTGAAGAGGTAAGAGAAACAGCCATCCGGGGTGGATCGTTCTGTCTGATGAAGACATTGCTCATTTGCTTCATTGTGTTGTTGTAAGAGTAAGATGCGAGTCCAGGCCAGAAAGCACTTTGAGACGTTGGGAATAAGACATGATTATGGAGAGAGGGACGGGCCCATCGCTCAGAGGTGGGGGAAACATAGTGGTGGTCTCAGAGGGATCAGAAGAGAAAGGTTGTGAGCTTCCACACGTAGGTGGGACCAAAGTGCTAAGATGAGCCTTAGCTCTTTTAGACATTAGGGATGTCCTGGACCAGGCAGAGGCTGTGCAGGAAGGATGAGCTTCACCTGAAGTAAGATGGCACTGGGCAGCCAGTGGTTACACGTAACAATGTGGAAGAGCAGCATGGAAACTAAGATGGTCAGTGCCTGCTGGAGGTTACGAAGCCGATTGGGCAGGGCCCCAAGACCGTGGACAACTAGGAAATGCCAGGAAGCAAGACTGGAAAGAACCGAAAGCAGAGGGCAAATATTGACAGCGGTGTCTCATTGGGACAAACACCTATTTCCTAAAAAAGGTAGTTACTGAGTCCGTGAGAGAGAAAATCCAGCCCTGAATGGGCTTGGTTATGAGGAGCGGACAGACGTGGAGCAGTGATTTGGAGGAGACCGCAGGGCGGTCCTGATCCTGATCTCAGTCCTGATGGGAACAGACCCCGGGGTTCCAGAGAAACAAGAGTCCATTAGCAGCCATTCCATTTGGTAAAAGAATGCAGGCCCCCTGTGGAGGCTGAAAAAGCAAAGCTTTAAAAGTATGTAGATGACAAAGAACCCTAGAGGATATTATTTTATTTTATTTTATTTTTTTAAGATTTTATTTATTTATTTATTAGAGAGTGAGAGAGAGAGAGAAACAGCATGAGAGGGGAGAGGGTCAGAGGGAGAAGCAGGCTCCCCGCTGAGCTGGGAGCCTGATGTGGGACTCGATCCCAGGACTCCAGGATCATGACCTGAGCCAAAGGCAGTTGCTTAACCAACTGAGCCACCCAGGCACCCTAGAGGATATTATTTTAAAATAAACATCTCATTGGTTGTTCAGTCTAAATGGAGCCAGAGGGGGGCCGTAGGAGAGAAGGAAAATCTTCTCCTTCTCCCCTTGTTACCCCTCAAAACACACTCCCTTCTGATCAATGCTTAATGGAAAGATCGATGAGCACAGAGGAAAAATAATAGTTCTTGTTTCTGCCCCCAAGCAGGAATCAGGTGGGTCATAACTATGGTTGAGGAGGGCCTTGCTCAAGTGCTAACCCAATAATCATACTCTTTAAAAAAGTGCACCAGAGAGAGAGCCAGCTAGTTGACCAGTGAGGCTATTTAACGACCACTGGAAATAAAGTGCAACCAGGGGTAAAAACAGAGCATACATTTTTAGCTTATGTCTTTCCAAAAGGAAATTTGGAGTATCTAAGCTCCCATGTCACCCACTGGGACATTCTAGAGGGATAAGATCCCATAGGAGTAAAAATTCAGGATATTTTGAACGTGGTTTTCAGACGAGATCGAGGAGGCACCTTTGGCAAGATCCCGGTGACACCCGTGGGAAGAGCTCAATTACGCATCACCAGAAGTCTTGTTTCCTTCTGCTCCTCTGTTAGGAGCACACACAGTCAGAGCTCCAGTTTGGTACTGGGGCTGAGCCTTTGCAAGTAATGGGACATGTCAGACCCGGAAGCAGATGCGCTCCGCCCGTTGGACACAAGCTGGGGGTTCCTGGAACAGGATCTTGGCAGCCAAGGTCGGAAGCCCGACTCCACCTCTGTGTCGTCTTGGGCAGACTACTTACGCACTCTGTACCTCTGTCTCCTTGTCTGTAAGAGGGAGACAACGATAGGCTGTTGGAGACGATTCAACGAGTGAAGACGTTTAAAGCGGCTCGAATAATGCTTGACCCAGAGGAAGTGCTTGGTGCATGTGCACTGGGGAAGGCAGGAAATGGTCATAGAAAGGTCCAGGAGGACAGGACCCACCACCCCGGGGTTGGCAAGGGTCCTACAAATAAATCATGTCTACAGCACACCTGCTGAGTGGTCATCCATCCTGTGCTGTGAGGGCCAGCCAAACCCGGTGTGAACCTTCAGCCAGGGAGGGTGAGGTTTAGACGAGGTGGGACCAGGAAGGGGCAGATGGAGAGCACTGGGTACCTCTCCACAGATGCCTCTGTGGACTCCACACTGGGTACCAGAGCTAGGAGGTGACCTTCGGAGAATGTCTCTGAAGCTTGAGACGTGCGGATTTGGACATTAGGAAAATAAAGTAGTACAGCATTCAGAGGGCACTGACTGAAAAGAGATTTCAAGGAATTTTAGATTCAGTATGAAAGTGAAGCCTCTCCTGGATTATTTGGAATCTTGGGCATTTTGGCATGGATCTCTAAAATCAAGAGGAGGTTAAGGCCTTTATGCCTTCATGCTTCTGTCATGGACGAAACAAAAATGGTTTTGCTCAAGCCAGCTAAATGCCACGTGACTCAATGCAGCTCTTCAAACCCCACAGATCACTGCTACGATCTGTAAGAGGCAAATTTGCTAGATTCTGCACAACATGCAGGGGGCAGCCCCACATAACACTCTGAAGGGGTTACATCCTCACCTCTGTCCTGTAGGCAGAGGTAAGACAAACACCAATAAGAGATTGAGCACAAGCCATGTCATTTCCGAAAAGGAGAGACCAGCAAAGTACGATAGGGATAGAAAAATCGTGCTCCTGGGAGTATGAGGAGAACAGTGTGCTGCAGGGTGGGGGCAATAAGGGGAACAAAGGGAATCCAGAAGAGCAAATGCAGATTTGGGAAGCATGCCTGGTTTCACTGAGCAATGGGTATTGAGGGAGTGGTGGAAAATAAGACTGGGCAGATGGGTTGGAAATGACAAGTGTTCGGAGCCCCAGGGGGTGTTGGGGTTGGAGGACAGGAGGACAAGAGCGGTGCTCTAAGTGCCTGAGGGTGAAGGTGATGTGGGGCCTGGTGAGGCAGGAGAGGGTGCCGGGCCCTGGGAAGAAGGGAGGATGTCTAGTGATCTGGAGGATCTGTGACAGTTCATTGCATATTTCAAGGTCTGGGCTGGGGCTAAGAGGGCTGTTTGGGGTCAAGCTGCAGGTCTGAGGTTGAAGGGGGCTCCACAATATTGAGTGACTGCCCTACTCTGCCCGACAGATTGAGGCCTGGGAGCAGGAACAGCTGAGCCAGCCTGTCTGTTTTGACTACTGCTGCATTGACCAATCTCCCTTCCAGCTGGTGGAGCAGACGTCCCTGCACAAGGCAAGTCCTTGCCCCCTGACTGCTCAGGGCTGCTGAGGGCAGGGCGGGTCTGGGGTGGACACGAGCTGATGTACTGCTCTTTCCCCACAGACCCACACGCTGTTCTCGCTCCTTGGCCTCCATCTTGCTTATGTGACCAGCATGGGGAAGCTCAGGGGCGTGCTGGCATTGGAAGAGGTAAAGGTGACAGGTCCCACTTGAGCAGCAGGAGGAAGAGTGGGCACAGGATAAGGGTGTGGGCGTGCAGAGGGGATGGTTTAACATCTGGGAGGTCCCCCAGATTTCCTGGTCTATTTCTCAGGCAGAGATTGGAGGGGATGAGGGGATCAAGTGGCTGGTGGAGAGGAATGTCCCCGGGACCTTCCATGGGCCGGGGGTTTGGGGTGAGGACTCCAGGCATGAGTTGCAGTTTCATGTGTGTGTTCTGGAGAGGGCCGTGGGAAGAGGGAAGAGATAGGATGCGGCTGAAGGACGCCTGAGGGTCAGTGGGAAGGGGCCTTGTCAGAGGAGCTTGAGATCTGTAGGTCCGCAGATGCATCTCTCCCCAGGCCCCTTTTCGTGCTGTTCCATGTCTTTTCCACTTCTCCTCCTTGTAGGAATCTGTCCTCTCGCACCTGTTTGTCTCACCCTGTCCCATCCTCTGTCTCTTCCCAATTGTATACCGCCTTTCCCTCTCCCCACCAGCTGCAGAAGGCCATTGAGGGGCACACCAAGTCTGGGGTGCAGCTCCGCCCTCCCCTCGCCAGCTTCCGGAACACAACTTCCACCCGGAAGAACCCCGGGGGCCCGCCCCCTCCCACAGAGGCCTGGAGCCTTCCTGAGGAGAGAGCTGGGGCTGCTGAGGCAGGTGACGGGGCTCCCGCCTCCCCAGAGACCCCCGTGCCCTCCGCCTCAGCAGAGCCCAGTCTCTCGGCCGCCCTGGACAAGGCGGAGGGCGAGCTGGAGGAGCTGGGGCTGATAGAGAGTCCGGGACTGGAGGAGGGGCTGGCTGACATCCTGCAGAGCCCCAGCCTGCGATCCACTGATGAGGAGGATGAGGACGAGCTGACCCTTTGACCACCTCCAGGACCTCCTCTTAAAGACTGTCCAGAGGCCCAGGCCAGAGGTTGGATTTGTATGGGTGGGGGGAGGGGGGCGTGTCCTGAAGTTGGAGAGATCACACCAACATCCTGGCCCCTCCTGGGAATTTTGAAATGGGATAGTGATAGTCTTAGAAGAGCGTTGCAATTTGGGCAGAGAGAGTAGCCTCGGTCAGCTATTTAGGCTATGTCCAGACAGGCAGGGGCTTCTAACCCCGGTGAAGGACCTGATAATCCATGGGGCTTCCCGAGCCTTCCTGGTGCGTGGGTGGGAAATACCCTGCCTCTCTCGGCCTCCCCTCAGTCCCCTGCAGTACCCTGGTGTCTTGTCCCAACACCTCCCCGGCTTTGCCCCTGTGTCTGCCAGGCTCCACAGGGGGAGGCCCACAATGACTGTGACCTTCAGAGGAGAGGGGAGCACCTCATGGCCTCCCAGAGTGACGGCCGGAATAACTGGCGCATCATTCATACCCCTCTCTCACAGCCCCCGGGTGCCTTGCTGCCGATCACGCAGGCCTCCTTCAGGCCCACGTCCATCCCATCTCGCACCAGCCAGCTTCCTCACGCTCCAGTTTCCAGGTCACCCCCTGGGAACGACATCCCGCCCCCCACTGTCCTCACTGACCTCTCCTGCCCGAGGGCCCACTGTGCCCTCCAGCTGCTGCGGTTGTGGCTCCTGCCCAGAACCAAGGCTCAGGGCAGCCAGGTCCCTGGGGCACTCAGACTCCAGCCCTTCTTAGACTAGTTCCTTGTGTACCTCTTCTAGAGGTGGTGGGGAGATGGGGGTTCGATGTCTACATGGCAGACCTCTTTGATGTTTGAAGTCAGAGCCTTATCCTCCCCACATCAGCCACAGGGTGCCTGCCGGTAGCCCGTCTTTCCTATGAAGCGGTCCTGGGTGCTCGGAGCCTCCAGCAGCCCTCACTTCCATACCCAAGGCTTTCTTCGCTCCCTCCCTCCTTTTGGTCCCTATCTAGTTCTGCAGCTGTACCCCCTTTCCGACATTCTCCTCCTTCCCCTCCCCCGTGCCCACTCTCCATCATCCCCCAAAGAAGACACTCATAGTCAGAGGTGCCACCACATTCTGTTTAGTGCCATTGAACACAGCCTGTAGCCCTCTCCAACAGGACATCCCTTCCACCTCCCCAGGCCCAGAGGCGGTGCAGCCTGGGCAGGGGGGCTGGCAGTGGGCATTGGAGCCCATGCCCATGTGTATATAATCTATAATATTTATATATGTATATATTTATATATAATTCTCTCTGTAATATATGTCATAGAATCTCTCTTGGGCCTGGGGTGGGAATGTCACATTAAGAAAACATGCTAAGACTGGCCATAAAAATGGATATTTCCCAGACCTGGAAGACAGAGTATGGGATATGGAGGCAGGGCAAAGAGAAGGTCATACACTCATTTACCAAGAGCCCCCAGCCCCTCAACACAAGGGTAAGAAGGGAGGCGTGGGGGAAGGTGGGGCAGTGGAAGGGGAAGAATGGGAGATTTGGATTTTTCTTTAATAAAGTGATTTGAAAATGAAAGTGCACCCCCCCCCCCACCCAACCAAAGGAAAATCATTTAGCAAGAGCAGTTTCATTCACAAGAATATAAAAACAGCCCTGTTCCGGGACTGTTGGAAAACGTGCTGCACAGCCTTTAACCCCAAAGGAAAAGCAACCCTCCCCCACCCCACCCCTGACAGCCTCTTCCTGCACATGCCCCCCCCCCAGAATAGGCTATAAGCAAACCCCATGCACCCTGCCCCCCAGCACCAGAGAGGCCTTTCCTCCCTCAGAAGAGTCCTACGAGGGTCCCAGGCCAGCTCCTTGGCTCTTCTCCCTCTTCAGAGTGGAAAATGCAGGCCCCCACCTGATCTCTGCTCTGCGAGCCCCCTCCACGTATAAAGTCTGCTAGATGCCCTCACAGTTTCAGCCACTGTTGCAGGGACCGTTTGGCTTCCTCCGGGAAGGGAGGGAGGGAGGGAGGCAAGAACGCTGGTTGCTTTGGTCCACCTTTCCCAACTCCACAGGCCCTGAGCAAGAACGAACTGTAATGAATGAAGCCACTGGATTGTGTGTCCACCATAGTCTGGGGGCAGAGAGCAGGCAAGAAGGGGATGAGACTAACAGAAAAAGATGGTGCATTGAGACAGCAGGTGGCACGAGGCGAGGAAACAGGGAACCGTGAGCATGCAAGACCCCAAGGTCCCATGGCAGGAGGGCAGGAGTCTCGAGTGAGGGCCAGCAGCCCGCGAGGTCCTGCTGCCTCCTGAGTCAGGTCCCATCACCAAACACGAGAGAGGTCTTCTGCTGAGATGGCTGTGGATAAGGTGACTTCACCTACCCGTGCTCACCATGCCCACGCCTGGGTCCTCCAAGGACCAACCCCAGGAAAGCCATCGTCCCCCTCCTCTGGAGGACACGGGACCCTCAGCTGCATTGCAGGCGCACATGTGAATGACAGTGTGAACTCGGTGTGGGGGGACAGTCATAGATGGACAGAAACAGCCCGACTCTCAACCTCCTCGTTCCAGAAAAATAGGTCTGGGGCATGGGGTGGGGTGGACAATTTCTGTCCAGGGTCTGGGAGAGGGTGACAGTGCTCCCTTCCCAGCAGAGGGTAGAGTGATAGGAGCCCTGACGAAGCGTGGGTAGGACACAAGGCCTTGGAGCTGGAGACTTAGTCGGGCACAAGGAAGGAGGGACGGCAACAATGAAGCTCTGAGCTTCTCCCTTCTACCCAGTCTCCCTGTGCCCCTGCCCTGGGAAGGGGCAGTGTGCCAGCCAGCTCTGCAGCTGTGGCGTCCTTCACTCTCTCCCGTCCCCCGCTTTCAGGATCTCTCCCAGAAGTGCTACGCGGAAGTCCCCACCACAATGGAAACGGGGCGTGAGAGGGCAGGCCGTTTCAGGGGCATACGCCTCACCGTAACCCATGCTGGAAGGAAGAATACTGATTCTCCTCTCTTCCTCCACAGGAGGCCTGGGGAGGGAGGGAGAACACCTGTGAGGCCCTCTTTGGAGTCTTGGGAGGAGCTGAAGAAGGGGGAAGGACTCGAGTGCCCACACTGCCCCTCAGCAAACAGCCCACCCTGGCCGGGGCCTGACAGCACCGGACTCCTCCCTCCACCCCACTCAACCCTGAGTCCCCAACAAGTTATAAAAATGTAGAAAAGGCAAAGAGAAAAGTGTAAACAGCTCCAGAGAATTAGAGGGTGGATGGAGGGAGACACAGCCCTCATGCTTCCCCATTTGGCCAGGACACCTGCATTTTGTGTCACCCCCTCAGGGCCAGGGCTCCCAGAGCAGGAGACAGAAGAAGGCAGAAAAGGGAAGCAAGAGCTGGGGCAGTCAGCCCCGGCTGGGCCCTTTCCCAGATCCTTGGATCCTCCTTCCGGACAAGGGAATAGTCAAGATCTCAGAACAGGCGGCCATGTTTGTTCTGGGTCTCATCAGTGACTTTCTGAGCTCTGAGCAGGCCCCGATCTAAAGAATCAGGTTTGTGTCCCTGTGCATCCCAGCTGCCACATCCACCTCCCCCATGACTCCTGATCTCAGAAGCCAATTTCTCGCCGAGCTCACATGACTTTAGGTGGCTTCCCCTGTGCCCATTGAGCCATACCCATAGCCCCTGAGGTCTGTTCCTCATAGTGGGGATGAGCTGGGGCCACAGCCAGAGAAAACACAGAGTCGGGAAAAGCAGGAGTGACACGGAGAAAGGAGACATTCCCATAGCCACAGTCAAGGCGCCTGGAAGACGAATCAGAGAGTGAAGAACTGAGGTCCAGTCGACGGCCACACACTGCTCTGTGCTCCTGTCCCCAGGAGAAACACTGGAGCTTCAGACAGACCCAGAAGCCTGCAGCCAAGCAAAGTTCACAGCCACCTGGTTGTCTGGGCCTCAGTTCCCGGACCTGCGGTTTCTACAGCATAAACCTGGTTAAATTCCCATCCTGGCTCCCCATTTTGCTGGTGGGGACTGGCAACTCCTGGGTCCCTCATGGTCTTCTGCCCGGGTTTCAGCTGTACTGCTGGGGGAAGGGAGGGTATGTTGCAGCCATGCCCCTTAGGTGGGGGTGGAAGGCTGGGCGTGGAGGGGGAGGAAGCTAGTTGTTAGCCTCGCCCTCCTCCTCATCGAAGGATTGCACACCTGAGGATGTGACATCAGACACTTTGCGGCTGAGAGCAGTGGACATCTCAGGGTCTTCTCGTGGGGAAAGTGACTCCAGGTCCCGGCATCCTGCATCCTCTTCCTCCTCGGGGGCCAATGGCCTCTTCTCCTCCTCAGCAGGGCCCCTTGCCAGGTCCACTCCCCCCACCTCCGGAGCCCAGTCCGTGTCTGACCCCAGCAAAGGTGGAGGCTCCTGAGCAGAGTATCCGCAAGCAGGCTGGGAAGGCCCCATTTCATGTAAGCTGGGCTGTGAGTCATCAAATGCAGGGCCAAGATAGGATCCTGTGGCCGGAGAGGCAATGAGGGACTGGTCGCTGGCTTCCCAGGCATCCGACGACCCCAGACAGTACATGCCCTGGGACACATAGGAGTGAGGCCATCCATCCATGGGGGCTTGAGCAAGGGCATCTGCCAAGAGAATCAGGGAAGTCAGCACGGTTACAGAACATCAAAGGCGGGAGCAGTGGACCGGAGAACTGAGTAGGGAGGGCGACAGAGTAAGGAGGAGAGTAAGAAAGCTGAGATGAAGAGGAACACACAGGAATGGAGGTAGCCCAGTGAAGTTGGGGAGGCCTCTCAGACCTCAGAGGAGCCATCCCTCACCTTGACTCTCCATCAGCTCCTGGTAGTTGTCACTGTAGTTGCAGCCCAGTGGCTCCTGGGTGGAGTTGACACTCATGTCCTCCCCGTCCATGGAAGACCAGGCCATAAGTGTGGCCTCAGAGATGGCAAACTGCTCCATGACACCTACAAGAAGAGACGTAGTTGGCACAGGACACCTCTGGGAACCCTTAGACACACGCACGGGGTAGGGCGACATTGGGGCAGCGCTGCCCAATAGAAATACGATGCAAGCCACTTGTGCAATTTAAAATTTTCTCACAGTCATATTAAAGAAAATGTAAAAGAAACAGGTGAAATGAATTTTTATATCTTATTTAGCCCAATATATACTTTGGATTATCTTTCAACACGTAATCTATATAAAATTATTAATGAGATATTTTACATTATTTTATTCATACAGGTCTTTGAAATCCTGTTGGTATTTTACATGGACAGTACGTCTCCATTCAGATGAGCCACCTTTCAAGTTCAAGGTCAAGTGGCTACTGTATTGGGACAGCACAGACTAACCCCCACACAAGGCAAAACGGTGTGGGACTTCCCAGAAGGTCAGGTTAAGAATTCTTAGCGGAGAGAGTTGAGGGGTCTTCTGGTGAGATGGCCAAATGAGGAATTTCCAGAAGTTTCTCTTTGGACGGTTTTAAGAATGTTAGCTGGTACTAGGTCGTCAAAGAGGAATCTAAATGAGAGGGCTCAATTTCAACAGAGAATCCCCAAGGGAGCACCATGGGCTTGTAGGTCCACAGTGGTGTCAAAAGGAAAGTTCCAGTGTTTGGAAGGAGAAGGGAGGGAGGGGACAGACTATGGAGGCTGGGTAGACCTGGGGGTCCCCATTGTGGTCAAAGCCGTAGGTTGAAGCTTACACTGCCAATTGCCCTAAACTACCCCCTGCCCACTACACGTCTGTCTCCCTCCCCACTGATAGTTCTTCCACCATTCACATCACCAAAACATAGACAAACCTCCCTTCTCTTCCGGATCTAACATTCTTCCCAGGTGTCCTACTGGGGCGTGCTACAGGGGCTTGGCCATGCAGCAGGCACGCCATATGCCTGTCTTATAGGGATTCCACTGTCCTGGACCAAAACCCCTTCTGTATACCACCGTCTCGCCACCCAGGTCCCTTGATCTTCTAGTGGTTGTCACAAGCAATGAGCCACGTAAGTGAATCCACTGTTGCAACGTGCTGAGGGGCAAAGTGTAGAGGGGATTTCTCAAGAGACATGGGGGGAAGGAGTGCCTTTCAGAGTTCAAGGCCCCTGCCTTTATGTCCTGTACAGACAGTGCTGCCATGTAGGAGAGAAGGCATCTGGTAACAGGTGGGCCTGCAGTCCCATCTAATTCTCTTTAATTTCTGAGACGATAATAAAAATAAGTTTGAGGGCACTTACCCCAATCAATCAAAGTACTTGAAATCAGAGCTGATTGGGAAATTATGTCTTATCGTCATCACAGGGATAGAGCCAATCCTGCCATCGGGGATCAGGCTGGAAGGTCAGTCTCTGGCCATCCCGAAAATGTGTCTCCTGAGGGTCCCCGGAATAAGTACCTGCTAGGAAACGTGCCTCCTTCTCGCCATCGCTGAGGTCCGAGTAGGCGTCGGTATCCCTGCGCACTGCCTCGTGGCTGTGTTGCGGCTGAATGGCTGGTGCCTTCCCCCAGCCCTGCCACTCAATCATGTGGGCCACCCGGCCTTGCCCCATGGCTGTGGGCTTCGTCACATGGTCCTTCATGCTGCGAGAAATCCCTGAGGGGCCAGACGTTCCCCACATCCTCCAGAATAGTACACGATACCCATACAAGATCCACCCCACGGCCCCACCCAAGTCCCGTGGGACTCCATCCAATGGGGAAGTTCCATATGAAGGGCAGCCTGGACGGGAGGGCTTGACGGCAAGGGCAAAAGGGTCAGGGGTAGGGGTCTTCTTTAGGCCTCGAGGAGCAAAGAGACTGAGACCAGGAGCGCGTAGGGAATCTCCTGTCTGGATTCATCCCCAGGTGGGGAGTCTCACCTGAGAAGGATGACTTTGCCAGGGCCCCAATGCCGTAGGCATTAGAGTTTCGCTTAAGCTTCGGAAGAATGGAAGTGGTGTCCTCCATGGAGAGCTGGGAGAGGGAATGTGGGAGGAGGGGCAGAGATGAGTTCAGGGTTTCCAGGAGGAAGGGTCTGAGCTAGGGCAGGTGAAAGGGAACGATTATGCCCAGGAGTCCTGAGGTCGCTTATGCCACAACTGCCCTTGAAAATATGGGGGATCAGTAGGGAATGTGAGGGCTCACGGTGCCTGCTGGCATCCGGGAGCCCTGTGTTCTATGGCAGGTCAAAGGGAGAATAGAAGGGAGAGGAGCTAGGGTGCGCTGGGGAGGGCAGGGGGAAGCTGCACTCACATTGATGCCGTCCCAGGAGAAGTCAGTCCGGGTTTGCTGTGAGGAGAGAGCGAAGGCAGTGGGGGTCCCGGGCATGCCCCACCCCACCCCCAGCCCAGGGACTCCCAGGAGTGTGTGAAGTAGAGAGGTTTTTCCCCAGCTTAATTTAGGAGCTCAGGATTAGGAGCTCAGTGTGGAACGTTTGGCCTGTGTTTTGAGGAAAGTAGGAGAAATGTTCTGTGAAAGTGTCAGTCAGAAGGAGTGTTTGGGCTGTTCTCTTGGAATTTAGGAAGATAATTCAAGGATCAAGCAGCTGGGAGGCTTTGTTCATGAGGGTTTCTGGGGTCTTTTAAAAGTCCTTTGGTTGGGGGCGCCTGGGTGGCTCAGTTGGTTAAGAGTCTGCCTTCTGCTCAGGTCATGATCTTGAGGTCCTGGGATGGAGCCCCGCATGGGGGGGGGGGGGCGTCCCTGCTCAGTGGGGAGCTGCTTCTCCCTCTCCCTCCATCCCTCCCTCTGCTCCCTCTCCCTCTCTCCCAAATAAATAAAATCTTAAAAAAAATAAAATAAAACTCCTTTGGCTGGGGGGCAGCGGGGCATGGGGCCTCACCTCGGTGGATGGCCGATGGAGGGTGCTCCCATGCAGCGAGCTGGTGCTGTCCATGTGGATCTGGTCGACATCCTTCAGGCCCTTCCAGTCCACTGCAATCACCTCATTTCCTGAGGTGGACACAGGCTCACTAGTTGCTCCACCTTCAACCCCCCCTGCCCCTCCCCCTCGCCAAAGGCCCCTCCAGGGTCACAGAGTGCTGAGGTCACCCAGGGGCAGTCCCTCCAGACCCCTCCCGTCCCTCCAGCTCCCACTCCTTCTGATGGCACATTCCCTTTCCCATCCCTACTCTCCCCTAATTTTTGGTAGGACAAACCGTAATGCTGAGCCAAAATATTCCCTTTGAGCGCACCCAAGAATAGCACATTCAGAGAAAGTGTTATATGGCCTTATTTGTTGTTGTTGAAATGGAGGGATCAGTGGTTGGGTTTTACCAGGAAAACCGTTCTGTAGTCTGTCCTGAGGAGTCTTTGAGGGTTTCTATATGGGAGTATATGGGAGCTGTGCCTTTCGTCCATGCTGTTCCCACAAATAAGGGCAGAACTTCTTTAGGGCTAAGCTTCTCTATATGTGGGCTTTATGGTTTGTATCTTGGAGCTGGTGATCTGTCTGATGGGAAGGAGATTTGGCGGGGATAGAGGCATGAGTTGGGGGTGTTCACCCAGAAATGGGGAGAGCAGAGAAAGTAAAGACTGAGATGCGATCATTTCCCCTGACTGTTGGGAGAAAAGTGATGGAAGAGGAGCAAAGGGGCACAAGGGGAGAAGAGAAGGGGACTTTTAAAAATAGGAACTAAAAGAAAGGCATTCAAGTCACGGAGAAGGCAAAAGACAATGGGAGGGGTGGACAGGGTTTGAGGGGAGCTGGAGGGCAGAGGAGGATGGGAATTGTTCAGGTGAGGCCAGAGCTTGGGGCCCAGGTAGATGCTGGCAAGCGGGCAGGGTGGTGCCTCTCCTGGGAGGTTGGGGAAGGAGCCCTTGGGCAGTTGGAAAGGGACTCAAGCATCAGATGACTGTGGAACCATCTGACCTTAGAGATCCTCCCTGCGCATGGAGTTTGTGATTCTGAATTTACAGTTACGGGTCCATGCTTGAGAAGGGGTGAGGTGAACGGGGTCTTGAGCATGGGGAGGCATTCAGCACGCATCCACACAGCTAGTGCAGAAGGATGGATGGTGGTTAATGGGTGGGAAGGAGGTAGGACCCCTCCTAAGTGAGCCCCTCTCCCTTGGGGCTACAGGGGAGTGATGTGCTGTGGCTGGCAGGGAAGAGGAAATATGGACCCTGGGCGTAGAGAGCAGGGAGGGGGCTGACAGAGGAGAGGAGGGATGAGGAGGGCAGAGCAGGAGAAAGGGGAGGGGGAGGTGGCCTTTGTAGAGGAGGGAGAGCTGAGTCAGAGCCCTGGGGGGCAGGGAGGGGGAGAGAGAGAACCCCAGGAAGAGGTGAAAGCAGAGGAGGGGGGTATCCATGGAAATAAATCGGGTCTTAGAGAAATCAGGCTTCCGGAGAGTGAGTTTGTTTGTAATAATAATACGAATTATTCTCTCGGCCTGAGGTCACTGGGTCGTGTAGGCGGGAGAAATTGCGAGTTGGAATGGGAAAAATTGGGGGGTTTGGGAGAGGGATGGACTAATTCGTGGAGCTGTGAGCGTGGAGTGGGTGCGTGGGGCGGGGGGTATGGGGGTGGAAGCAAGGCAAAGGCTGAGGGGAGAGACGACTTAGGAGGCGCCTGTGCCCGCCCCCAGTCCAAGGTAAATAAAGAGGCGGCCCCGCCCCGCCAGCCCCCGCCGACAGGTGCGGGTCCCGGTTCCTCGAGCCGGCCGGCCCCACCCTCCTGGGAGCGGGCTCCGGACCCCTGCCCGTCCCTCGAAACCCCCCGCCTCCTCCCCGCGCCCCCCGGCCCTCCCCTCCAGCGCAGCCCAGCCCGGCCCCATTTTCTCCGGGCGTGGACCCAGTTCCCCTCCCCGAGGCACCGGGCGCATCCCGCCCCCGCCCCGGAGGGAAGATGCACGTGAACAAAGCGAATCGGGGGAGGCCGGAACGACAGAAAAAGGCAACGAGAGAGAGGGAAAGAGGTGGGAGCCAAACACCCAAGCCAGAAGGAGGCGGGGGGCGGGGGGCCGAGGCGGAGACCGGGGGTCCTTGGAAGGGGGCTGCCCCAGAAATGGAGGGGGAGAGAGGCGCTGGGGAAGGCAGGGTCGAGGCGGATGGCCTGGAGGTGGAGGGCGCGGGGACGCGAGAGTAGGGAGAGGAGGCTGGTGGAGAGATGATGGAGAGGGACCGCGCCGGGGGGAGGGCGGCGGAAGGAGGCTGGAGGGAGAAGAGGAGCGGGGGAGCGGAGAGGGCGTCCGGCCCCGCGGGCGCGAGGCGAGAGCGCGGAGGAAAGCCGAGCGCGGGGAAAGTGCGGGAGCCCGGCCGGGCGGGGCGGGGGGCGCCGGGGGGCGGTGGGGGAGGGGGCCGGGGAGCGGCGCGGCCGAGCCCGCCTCCGCCCGCCCCCGCCCCGCCGCGGTACCCACCCACGGTCCGGGAGCCGATGCAGCCCATGGCTCCGGCGCCTCCGGGGCCGGGCGCTCACCGCCGCGGGGCGGGCGCCGGGGGCAGCACCGGGAGCCGCGCCGCCGCCCCAGCCGCTCTGCAGCGCCGCGGCTGTCTCCGCTCGGCTCCGCTCCCCCCTCCCCTCTCCATCCCTCCCCGCGGCAGCCTCCGTCGCCGCCGCCGCCGCCGCCGCCGCCGCCCGGCTCCCCCGCCCGGGCTCGGCTGGCGGCGGGCGGGGAGGGGGCGGCCCGGGGATTGGCTGCGCTCGGCGCCTCCCCGCCCCTGCCCGCGACCCCGCGGCCGCGCTCCCCGCTCACCTCGCGGCGCTCCCCGTCCGCCAGCCCTGCCCCTGGCCCGCGCTGGGGCTCCTCGCCGGGCCCCGGCCGGGCTGGCGCCTGCGGGTGCTGCAGACCCAGAGAACGTCCCCCTTGGGTCCCTGAGCGGCGGAAAGAACTCCGCGCCCGCCCTCCGGTTCTGGGGGATGGATTTCGAGGGCCGGGGCTGGGGATGCCCAGGGAGAAGGGCGCGGGGTTGGGGGGGTGGGGAGGAAGGTGGCGCGGGACGTGCAGTAAAGCTTGGAGGAAGGGCCTCGGCCGCCAAATTCCGCAAACACTTGTTTTCTTCCTGGGGCCGCATCTGGGACACAGACGCGAGCGTGACTGGATACAGCTTCGGTTGCTCTGCGTTTCCTGTGCGCTGTTTCGTCCACCCTAACAGATCGCGAAGTCTTTGCGAGTGGATAGTGTACTAAGCTTCCCTGTGCTGGGCGCTCGCTGGAAACTCGGGGATGGGTGTGGGGTTGGTGCAGATCACCTCCAGGACTGATTGGGGATGGGGGAGTAGAATGACAGTCCCAGCTAGAGTGGAATAAAAATCAGGACTCGAGACTGGCTAGAAGGCACAGTTTTAAATTCAATTTAACTTTCTGAGTCTTGGTCTCCTCTGACAAATGACAGCATGGATGTCAGGAAGCAGTCGAGAGAGGGGAGGATTGCCCCTTGGCTGGCCAGAAGGGGTCAGGTGTACCAAGGGCCTGGTGAGTAAGAGATTGAGAGAGAGAGAGAGAGTGATCTACGTGGTAGGGGACACGTAGTACAGGAGGCAAGAAGTGAAGTCCAGAAAAGTCACACAAGAAAGGGCACGGAAACTTGTCTAAGCAGCACCTGCAAACCCAAAGTGTGAGAGAGCAGACCGGGTCAGTACCAATGACAGCAAATCCGGGGTCTGTTTGTTCCCCACCTGCTTTCTTTTCCCTCCTGAGGTTGGGCAGGGACGAGGGCACCAGACCAGGGGTCCCAGTGTGGGTGTGGGTGTGTAATAGGACAAAAGACCAAGTCTCGTAGATGCACCTTTTAACCCTTTAGAGTCTGAATGGGGAGCTAAACTTCACGGTGATAACCACTACATTCTGTGGAATCCCAGATGAAAGATGGGAGAGAAGATGCTAATAATCTAATTGCAGATCTGGGAGATGGAATTATGGAGAGAGAACTGACCTTTGGTCTCTGTGCATGACGAAATAAATCCAATCTGCATCTATAAAACCGTGAGAGAGAAGAGGGAGTAGTCAGTAGGTCTGCTGAGATTTTAGTCATCCAGTATAATTCGTGGCAAGATCTGATACCTTATTCTGACAGTGAGAAGAACTGGCAAGTATTTTCCCCATATCTACTATTGTTGGTCATACAAAAGAAGGACCACGTGGTTTCTGCCCTCCTGGGATATATTGTCTAGCCGCAAAGGAGAGAACATGGAAAGATGGGGGGGAAAGAAGAAGAAGGAAAAGAAAGAAGAGGAGGAGGAGGAGAAGGAGAAGATAGAGAAGAAGGGTAAGGAGAAGAGGAAGAAGAAACAACTTCAAATACTACAGCAGTGCCATTCAACCCCTAATCGCTTGTGGGGAGAAAGCACTGATGGGAATAACCAGGTCAGGAAGGAACAGACCAAGTGGCCAGCTCTGCTCACACCTTCCCACTTCACACTGCTCTCCCTTTGCAGTGCTGTCTGATTCCAGTATTCCCACTATTAGTCTGGTCCAAACATGGATATAAACCCTGTCCCTCGTTCCCCTTAGCACAGCGGTACAAGGCTGGGTTTATCCAAATGATTGAAATCCAGTCAACACAAGGGACCCTGGGGGTCTTGAAGACTCCGTCCTGGTTCCCATTCCGTCTTAAAGGTATTTCCAGCACCAGAGAAAAGCAGAATGTCAGATTTTCTTACTTCTCACCATTTAGAGGCATTCTTTCCTAGTCTCTTTGCCATCTTCTGAGCCAAGGTCAAAGATCCTAGTTCTGATATGAACAGGAACAACCTTTCTGGAGGACGATTTGACAGTACTGATAAAAAAATCTTTAAAATATGCATTGCTGTTGTTGCAACATTACTAAATTGTGACACAGCTCTTCCATTTATAGAAATATTCTAAGGAAATAAAAATAGAATATGGACAAAGATTTAATCTACAGCACTCATCAGAGCACTACTTACATAATAATGAAAGATTGTACACAACCCATGGACTCAAACCTGGGGATTAATTAAATAAATTATGGTATATGCTTATAAGAGAATACTATGTAGCCACTGATAATATTTTATAATTGAATTTGTTGACAAATTATTCATGGTATATTCTGACATTATAAAGAAGCAGACTGTAATATAAGAATTAGAGTATATCAATGTTTGTTTAAAAATCACATACACACATTCTCCTGCCTTTTGTCAGGCTTTCCATCCCAAGTAATTTATAGGATTCCCTGAGGAAAGCCTATGTTTTACAGATGTCCAGTCTCACTCATCAGTTAAGTTTGGTCCTCAATGAAATCACAATATTAATGAGTCTATTTCTAAACTCTAAAAATAGAGGACTTTGGCTGAATGCCCCAGTATGGCTTTGGTACTTCCTAACTGGTCCCCTTTGGAAAACAACGAGGTGGAATGATGTTTCCCCCTTCTCTGTTGTTGCTGTTTCATGCCCCTAGTCTCCTATGGATATCTCTTGGACAGGAGGAACAGAACCAAGTTCAGAAACAGTACTGTCTAGGGGTGCCTGGGTGGCCCAGTTGGTTAAGTGTCTGAGTCTTCAGCCCAGGTCTTGATCTCAGGGTTGTGAGTTCAAGCCCCACATTGGGCTCCATGCTGGGCATGGAACCTACTCTAAAAAAAGAAAGAATGAAATGGTACCATCTAAAACAGGGACTCTTGGGGTGCCTGGGTGGTTGTAGTGGGTTAAGCGTCTGACTCTTGGTTTTGGCTCTGGTCTTGAAATCAAGGCCAGGGTCAAGCTCCACACTCAATGAGGAGTCTGGTCCAGATTCTCTCTCTCCCTCTCCCTCTGCTGCTCCCCCTGCTTGCTCGCTCTTTCTCTCTCTCAAATAAATAAATAAATCTTAAGTAAAATAAAACAGGAAATTAAAAAAAATTATTTATTTATTTGACAGAAAGAGCACAAGCAGGGGGAGAAGCAGAGGGAGAGGGAGAAGGAGGCTTCCGGCTGAGCAGAGAGCCCAACATGGGGCTCAATCCCAGGACCCTGAGATCATGACCTGAGCCAAAGGCAGACACTTAACTGACTGAGCCACCCAGGTGCCCCTAAAACAGGAACTCTTGTCCCAGGATCCACGGGCAGAATCCAGAGTCCCTAACCTTGGTTGGGAGAACTTATATCTTTATGTTCACTGACTTATAACTGAAATTCTTCATGTCCTTCAGGTGTATGTATAGGCAGCAAAGCACAGTGGTATTAGAGCTGTATTTCCATGTCTTTACTGCCTATAAAAATTGTAGATGTTTCTATTATACTACAGTTGCAGATTTCTTACGCTATCCTTTATGTTCATCACTACTTTGAAATTATGGTGGTACTGAACCCCCCTGTACATGTTCCTATTTAATGCTCTGATAAAGAAGCAGCTATATTACTATATCACCATTTTATAATAACTGCTTTTTTATATTAGTCATTCTCTTTTTATATTATTTTTTAATATTTAGTATTTAGTATTATTCTGACAGGGAAGCCATTGATTTTCCAGATTGCCAAGGCATCCAGGGCAGAAAAACTTGTAAGAACCCCTAGCCTCAGGCATGCCTGGCTGGATCAGTCCGAGGAGCATGCGACTCTTGATCTTGGGGTTGTAAGTTCAAGTCCCGCTTTGGGTATAGAGACTGCTTAAAAATAATTTAAAAATCTTTAAAAAAAAAAAAAAAAAGAAAGAATCCCTGGCTTCTAAATATATTTTTGGTGTTGGTGGTGGTGTTGGGTGGTCTTTGACTCTGCAGGAGCTTAATAATCCTTTTATTTATTTTTTTTTTAATTTTTTTTTAAGATTTTATTTATTTATTTGAGAGAGAGAGAATGAGAGAGAGCATGAGAGGGAGGAGGGTCAGAGGGAGAAGCAGACTCCCTGCCAAGCAGGGAGCTCGATGCGGGACTCGATCATGGGACTCGATCATGGGACTCGATCATGGGACTCGATCATGGGACTCCAGGATCATGACCTGAGCCGAAGGCAGTCGCTTAACCAACTGAGCCACCCAGGCGCCCCTTAATAATCCTTTTAATACTACCAACTTAAATGACCAAGCGAGACACTTGACATCCCATTTTGAAGCCTTGGTCCCCAAGAAAAGATATGTCCCTTTCATCTGCAGGACTGAAAGAGTCACACCCAAGCTTCATGCCCACCCCAACAAATCCAGAGGAAATGCTAAAAAGACAGCAGCTTAATAAAGACTTTCTTTTGTTTTAATGCGAGACAGTAGATCACAGTTCAGGGCGGATGAAAAGATCCAACTGAGAGGGGGAGGTTCAAAGTACAGGAGAGGAAGATTCATGATGCAGAGGGTGAGTTCCCAAGGCAGCCGCAGGGGATGCGCACAAGGCTCAGGGAGGGGGACTGGGCTCAGAAGGAGGAGCCCAGCTAGTCTAGCAGATGGAAAGATGAAGCAGATGCCAGTGGGTTCCACATTCGGTGTTGGGAAGAGGAGGGATTCCAATCTGATGGTGTCTGTTTTCTCTGAGAAGTAGGAATCGAGCTCATCTACGAAGTCTGGGAATGGAGGAGATAGCATAAAATGATAAGTAATACGCAAACATCACTTAGCAGTTGACAAAGGGTGTTCAGTGTCTTCCTACAACAATTCAGGAGGGAAATCACGGTCTTTAGTGTTGCAGTTGAGAAATCTGGGCTGAGAGGCCCATTAACCATCTTTTCCCCCAAATTACCCAGCCGGAAGGAGAAGGAGCTGGGGCATAAACTCAGCCCCTCACATAGAAAATTCTTCCTGGATGCTGTAGGAAAAAGCTACACTGTTTGTTCATTTGTTTTTTAAATAATTAGAGCTACTTGGTTCAGGGTTTTCTTTGATACACGTTCTTTCACTCTTGTCTTTCTTTTATGAAGGTGGGGCTGAAGAGAGGAACAAATCTATGTGCACTCTTAAATTTTGAAATGCAAAGGGAGACTTGCAGCCCCTGCTATGGGTCTCTGGCACAGATGACCGGAGTGTCGGCTCCTACTTATCCATGTCGGTGTTTTGTATCAGAGTCCCTATCTCAGGGGGACAAGCAGGTGATTCAGGCCCCCCCCACGTTTAGTCAGCCTTGGGGCAG